CGAAAAAGTTCCGGAACCGGAAAAAAAAACAATCGATAAACGAAGTGTTTTTAATAAGATCTCCAGACGTTGTCTCCTAATCATCTGGGTCTTCAACTCCGCGTTTCGATTTGTACCCTTCCCCCGTCAAATATGTTGAACACTCCGATCTCTTCTGCAAAAAGTTGAATTTTAGCTTTGATGTAAAGAATATTTGTCATCTCACCTTGCAATTGACGAGAATCCCATTTTCTTGTCAAAATGATAATTGCGAACGAGTATATAATTGTCTGGATACCACATTTTCTCACTCGTAAACATGATAGTCTCTAGTTTAGTCTCTAGGTTGATGTCAACACAAGAGGTGTTTTCCAACAATCGCTAGTATGTTTTTTTTTTGTTCCATTGGCCTATAGTTTCCCATCACAAACACTTCCTTCCCATTTGGGCATTCTTTGACCTCAAATATCAAATCTTCAGGAAGGTAATCATCCTTCATTTATATTCTCTTTAAGCATTTGTTTTCAGGAGCCAAAACAGGCATTCATCATCAATTTTTTTTTTCTGGCTCCTTTTTCCGTTCATATTCAATTCCTTCACACTCCCAGCGTCTTTCCATTAACCCATGCTATTTTCACTGCGCGCTCACATAGTCTGCTGTGTCAAGAAGAGAGAAAAAACCGAAAAAAAACAGCAAAAGAGAGGCATGAAGGGAATAGAAGAAGGAAGAAAGAAGAAGAAGAAGATGAAGAAGAAGGGAAAAAACGACATGTTATAGTCGAGTCGAGCCTCTTCGTCTCCACGTCTGCGCCTCACCGGCGCCCCCTCTGGCCCATAACCCTTCTTCTTTTTTCGTGTCTTCTTCTTCTTCTTCTCGTCAACTCTTTCTCTTTTTCCATTCCAATCCATTCCGTTTTCATCTTCTGCTCCCCTTCTCGTGCTCCCGATTATTTTCTTCTCCTTCTTCTCCTTTTTCCTACTCATTCATTTCTTCTTCTCGATCATTACTCTAAATTTTCCTAAACCAAACGTTTATTATCTCTGAATCCAATCTGTCCGATTTCAGAAAGAAGAGAAGAAGAAGATAAGTTTTCATGAGTATCTAGAAGTGAGCCCTTTCTCTTTTTATTCTTTGCTCTGTCTTACACTCCTCGTGCCCCTTCTTCTTTTTTTTGTTTCTGCAATCGCTTCCTTGTTCTATTTTGTTGGCTCTCTGTCTTCTTTTTTATTGGTGCTTCTTTTTTCTTCTTCCTTCAAAAAGTTTCCGAAAAAAACTTTTCGATTGGTCTTTCCACAAAGTTTTGCATATGCCATTATTATGAATAGGGATGTCTGGAGGTGAAAGACCTGCCTAGAATATATATCAAACATCACAATGATGTTACAGTCAATAGACATACATGGAAACTAAATTTAGATGTTGTGCAAATACTTTACTACCGTAGTCTTTTCTCAAAGTGGCTCCAAAGATTGTTAGATAACTACGAAAGTTTAGTTTTATCCTGAAGTAATGTCTGGATTATCGCCGGAAAAGTGAGATAAATCTAAACCTTCTCATCTGGAGATAATGTTGCAGAGCATAGAGAGAATTCTGCAAGTTTTCTCTTCCACTTCATCAACTTTTAATCATGACACACCCCCACTCAATACGAGGATTAAATGCCAAAATTGAGAATTTCTGCATCAACTTCAACTTCACAAAGTCTCGCCGGAATAGGATTAGTCCGCCACAAAGTATAGAATATGTATTTGTAATAATGTCTTATCCAATTTTCCTGAATCAGAAGCTCAACTTTTTGTCTTTATTCCCGATTCTTTCTCTTTTTTCCTTGTCTTTTTGCCGAATCCTTCTTGTGAAATCCTAGACTTCAACCTCCAGAAGTTGTTTATCTGTTTTTGAGGCAGCTTCCTAGAATAGAAATACGGAACTTGGGATGTGCGGAGGTTTGTAGTAAACATAAGATGACATCAGGCTTATTCATATTCCCTTTTCGCGAAATGTACCCTAGCAGGTGAATCAATATTAAGTTTTCTTGCGGGGTGTTTCAAAATGGCACATTAGTCTAGACAGCCATCAAGAATTACAGCAAGTTTCATATTACCTTGGTATAATTTGAAAATTAGAAGGGGTTCCAAAATTAGATGCTGGGTGGAGCTTAGGCCCGGTAGCGAAGCCCTTAAAGGAGCGCACTTTTCGTAATTGTTTTCTGGCCTATTTTTTCCATTTTTCAACAAATTTTATCGATGTTTTGATGATTTTCATCGTTTTCATGCGATTCTTTGTAATTTGTCGGATTTTTAATTTGAAAAAATTCAAAATCGATGAAAATTATTGAAAAATCGAAAAAAAAAGAAATTTTTCCAAATTTCGTAAGAAAAAAGTCAAAAATCGTAGTGAAATTGAAAGAACAGGTCAGAATATAGTTACGAAAAATATATGCACCTTTAAGGACTCCGCCACCGGACCTCAGCTCCGCCCATCGTGAAATTAGACCAGAGGAATATTTTCGAGACAAAACCTAGACGTTGTCGTAATTCGCATATTATCATGATGACTGATTTGCAGAAACCACTTCCTTGAAGGAAGTTCCTCGTCTCGCCCACTGCAAAAATATCAATTTCCGTATAAAATGCAATAAAAAAGAAAATAATGCTCGCTGAAAAGCCGCATTTTCATTAGTAGTCTGGAAGTATTTGAAACCCGAGCTCTCAGGGAATCTCCGGAAGTCTACTGTAAGGTCAGAACACACATACACGTTTAGAACAGAACACATTTTGAATTGATCAATGAGAAAAACGAGAAAAAGAGAAAGCGTATGTGTATGTATGTGTGTATGTGTGTGGCCTGGCTTTTAAAACAAATACAAATCGCAATTGTGATGGTGCTCGCGCTGATCTTCAAGGGGGTCCCCTCCTCTCTCAGTATGTGCTCATATTCCGTGGGCCCGTCGACGTAGTTTGTGTTTCTGTTAGCTGCTGAAAATTTTAATCCGAAAGAAGCCCTTCCTAGGTGTCATCCCACTCCTTTTCTCTCCTTAGCATACCTTCCCCTTTTCGTCATCTAGTCACCTGTTCGCTGCAGGAAAATCCCCTTCTTCTTATTGCGTCAAACCGGCGCCCACTCGATATCAATTTGATCTACTTTCTTCTTCTTTTTTCCGGATCAGTTCTGATAAAAAGTACATTTATTTGTGTCTTTATCTTTTCCTTATTGAAAACCTCTATGTGTTTCTAATTTCATGCAATCTCATACACCTTATGACTGAAAACGGAAGCTGTTGGTTTTTGGATAGTAAAAACAGAGGTGAAGCTGTCTGGCAAAAGAAGGTGATAACAGAAAGAAATGATGGTTTATCAGCAGACAAGGAAGAAAACGCATTTAGAAATCTCTGTTTCCTAGAAGTCCAAATCAGAAATAACTTCTAGCAAAATTAGGAGGAATTATGTGGATATCCAAAGAAAACACAATAATCCTAAACTTCAGTTCCAATCTCCCTTTTTTCCAAAGTTTAATCGGAAGCTCTATCAAGCTTATGCTCAGACCTCATATTCGAAACTTTAAATTCTTTTGAAGACGTGGTGAAACCCTTGTAGGTCATTTAGAATTCTTCTGACGAGCAGAACTGTGTGTTTTGTGTGAATAGACACGGACTATGTAACTTGTTCGTCAGGAATGGAAGTTTTCGTTAGTCTCTTTTTTTTCTCTTTTTTTTCGTTAGTCTCTCCTTAACACCAGAGATGACTCTTTCACAAATCTTCGTTTTTTGGAATACGTTTATCAAAAATGTACCTGTATTAATTTAGAAATAGACATTCATATACTTTGGGTTGCTGATGAACTAAAAAACAAATATGTCTTCAAAAAATGAAAATACCTACAGTAATCCTTTACCAAATCAATTGATTGATACCTCTGAGGGAAAAAGGTCGTGTCCGAAGAACCGAGTTGAAGGAAAAAAGAGCAAGGCTCATGATTTTTGTCAAGCGAGACACATACTTTTTGGCAACCCGGGTCCACAGGGTTTCAAAATTCCTGGTCAGAAATCGCGCCCCAGATAACTTTTATGCCAGTGATACTTCTCCAGTCTACCGACTTATATCAAAAACTTTTCACCCATTTTTATCTCTTGCCTCTGGGTCACGTGAAACGTGTTCAGGTGTTTGTGGTTTGTGCCAACACCACTATCCACCCCCGTTGTCTCTTGTTCCCATGAAAATTCCCTTTTTTAATGTTCTTTCTCATTGTTCCACGTGGCACCTAAATTCGTTCAGCTTCTACGTCTCTTCCTATTAGAAAACTCCACACATATTCAGCTTCTTCTCTCCTTCTCATTGGTAGAGGCTTTCGGATATCGTTTGCAACTCGTTTTATTCCTTTCTCTCTTTTCGTTTCTCTTCTCGTCGGTTTCCAGCCTTCTTCTTCTTCTTCTCCTTATTCGTGTTGGCTCGCTCGATCGCGCGGAGCAAAAAAACTCTTCTCCAGTCTTCTTCCATCTCTATTCCGCCTCGTCATTCATACTAATGTGTGTATACGTGACAGATTGGATGAATGAATGAGCAAATGAATGCTCTTTCTCTTCTTTTGCCGAACCAAAATCGCCCCCCCGCTCGCGAAATGCTCATTCTTCCTCATTTTTGGTCATTTGTTAATAAGAAAGAAGGGGGAAAAGAAGGTGTTCTGGAATGTGAAAAAGGACACAGCCGCCTCCGAAACATCCAACAAAACTACGGGAAAATGCGGGAACATGGGAGAAGAGGGCAAGAAGAAGAAGCCCGGCGAACCGACCACGCCCTTCTGACAATAGGACACTTGTTTCTCAGTCATCCTGCGTCTCATTCATTTCATTCATCTCTGAACTCTCTCTTCTTCAAAATCCCCCTACCACCAACATACTCTAAATACTCGAACTTTCTGGATGATTCCAATTTTTTTTGTGAAAAACAAAATTTTCAGTTAACGTCGTCCACGGGAATTCCGGAAAATTTAAGAAGACGTTCGTAACATGTGAAATGGCGCCACAATGAGCGGCCGCATCAGCAATCGCAGCGTCGTCGTCGGCGTACGAGACGCGGCCGGAGGATCCAGTGATGACAAGGACAATCCCAATGAGTTCGATGCACTTTATGCCGATAGTCAGGTGAGCCTTCTTCTTTCTTCCCGAATATGAGAATGGTGTTGTTTTCGAATATATTGTGTTATGGTAAGGATGGAAAATAGAGTGAATTCTGAATCATTTATTGCCATTGCTTTTCAATTTCCATCACGGTTGTTTACAGTTTTTCAAAGGGTTATGAATTTTCCGGAAACTGTTTCATCAGATTGTTTGATATTGTCTGCTCATTGATCTCATGTTTTTCTTCCTTCCTCGTATTATTGAAGCAGATTGAATTTTTAAAGAATCTTTCAAATACTATGAGGATTGCTTGACTGTCCAGTTCAGTATCTGAAATCTTCTTTGATATAATCATGTTTGTTTTTGATTAAGGCTACCGTAAACACTCCAATAGAACTCCACTCAATTCGTCAACTTTAAGCCCATATATCTCATTTCCTGAGGAAGATATCAAAAAATGGTCAACTGTCAACATTTTTTTCATGATTGCAGCATTTATTAGTTAACCAATTTTGGATCACAGGAAATGATATACATGTACCAAAAGCTGGAAGTTTGGAAGGCATTCTACTAGAGTGTTTACGGTAATCTGTGGATTTTAATTGTCCGCATTGTGTTTTAAACCGGAAGTATTTCAAAGTGAAGCATCTCGTGAGGATTTATTATATTGCTTCTTCGTTTCCTTTCTTTCAAATATCACTTCTCATCCCTCAAAAAAGAAAGTTGCCGAGTCTGACCCAGGTAAAGAATAAGATATTCCTGAGCACAGCGCATCTTCCACCTGTCAGTTTCAAATGAAAAATGGAGACTAATAAAATAAACTCTTATTCACTTCTCGATAGATCGCACTTTACACAATATCCAGGAGCACAAAAAAGAACGAAAGGAGCAGTCGGGTGGGTGCTCCGGCGACGACTCTTCGGCACCCCGTCATGAATTCATTTTTTTAATAGGACAAAAATAGTTGATAATTGAACATTGAGAAATTAATTAAAGAGCAAAAGATGAGCAATTCACCTAGTCTATTTTCGTTATTCATCTTTTAAACGTTTCACATTTCCAGTTAATTTCTTTCCCTTCTAATTCAGATATCAGTTCATTCTCGGAGCAGTCTTGCGAGGCTAAATTATAGACTTCACATTTCGCCCACATTCATAGTTTAATTAGGATTGAATTTTGTGCTGCACTGCCAGCTTTCCGATCATTATGTGGAGATAATAGGGGAAAGAGGAAAGGTTATGTGGCTCTGGATAATTGTTATCTACGCCATATATAGCATTTCCACCTGCCATGGAAAATGTGAATATTATGAAATTGGGAATCCACAAGTACCGTATTTTCTCTAATTGAAGCCCATGGGCTTCAATTTTTCAACCTTTTTTTTTAGGAAATTACCAAAAACTGAAGAAGAATAACCGAATAGACAAACTGGACTGTTCAAACTACACTAACTGAACTGCCCGTACTTCTGTTAGAGGATGTGCTTCTATGTTTTTAGGCACATCCGAGGGTGGGCTTCTATTAGAGGTAGGCTTCTATTAGAGGAAATACGGTATATACACAGTTGAAAATAACTACCGTATTTTCTCTAATAGACGCCCACCCCGAACTTTTAGCTCAATTATCTTGATTCCTGGGAAAGACATAAACAATTTGTCAACTGATGTGAGGAGGCCCTTCTATTACAGGTCTTATGGTATCCTTTACTGAAAGCCAGATTCTTAGTTGCAGACAATTTTGAAAATGTTTTTCTGCCTTTTTATAATCTTTTGAAACAGCTACCGAATACCAAAACGAAAAAAAATGATATTGTTCCTGCGGTACCTTTTGATGTTCTATTTTTCATCCTCAATAAGCAATCTGAGCCCTCGGAAGAATCAAAACGCAACTGTAACAACAAAAAAAATATGGAAAATGAGAAAGGAAACAATGATTCTCTCTTTTTGCTATTCTCGCTATTTCGTTTTTATCATGATACTTATGGTGTTAAGTCGATTTAAAACTACATGTCATGCTCCCGAAAATTTTCATAAAAAGATTAACTCCCCGGTCGACTTTCAGAACAGTTCGGCACCGAACACATCACCGATTCTACTCGCAAACTTTGGGATGAGATGTCAAAGGTAAGGTTTCAATACGAGAATTTCATTTAGAATAGACATTTTCCAGACTTCGAGACTTCTTCTCACTAAAGCATTGCGTCCGATGGATGGTGTTCGTGCTGACGTGGTTGCAATTGGGTAGCGTCATGAATTGTGTCGACGTATTCTCATTCTCCATGGTTTACATGGAGAAAAACTCGTCGATTGCTGCAGAAGCAGGTTTGGACGATGTGAGTTCGTTTTTTTTTGGGCTTTTCTTCCTTCTGGTGACCGCCCATGGTTTGACATTCTGTTGTCACAAGACCAACAGAATAAAAAGATATCTTGGGGATAGAGAAGACGGGAAGAAGAAAAATGGACCACAAAAAAAGAAATGATGAATTGAAAATCGGGCAGTGTCGTTTAGTGGAGCTGCATCATGACAGCTGTTCTTTTGAGAAGTTTTGCAGAAAAATCAAGGTCACGTCAGATCAAGATCTATTTTGGTTTTCGGGCTCAACGGATTAACCATAGTTCGATGTCTCCTCAATAAAAAGTTCGTAGTCCAAAAATTTGAATATTTCTAAAAATATCACAGGAAAAGCGGGACTGGCGGATAACTGCTAGTCTAAAAGGGCGCGTTGGCGATGCGGGCGGACCGTTGACGGCTTGTCGACGGACCGATCGTTCACTGTGAATAGAGTCCCAGTTTTCCGAGCGAAAATCTGTTAGACATGAATGTGTATAAAATTTAGAAGCTATTTTTCCATCTTGATAGGAGAAGAACAGCTACAAAGAATCAGAAAATCATATTTTCATATCCAATAGTCAGCCAATAATGCATTCAACTTTTAGATCTACATCTACTCTCTCGAAGAGAAGTCCAGTCTGATCTCAGCCATGGCTATCGGTTCCCTAATTGGAATGTATCCACAGAACAATCTGATGCAGAAATACGGACCTCGTTATGTATTAACTGTCGCCAGTTTTCTGTGTGCCACCATCACAGCCTTCATGCCATGGGCTCTCGACACCCATTACCATGTGGCATTGGTTTTCAGGATAATTCAGGGGATCCTCTATTCTGCGGATTTCGGAGTTGTGGGATACGTCGTTTCAAAGTGGGCTCCGATTTCTGAAACCGGAATTTCATTGGCAGCTTTGAGTGGATTCACTGCTGCCAGGGCTGTCATTCAGTTGCCTTTGGCTGGATGGGTAAGACGATTCAGAAGGTTTTATTGGTCCGAATTGAATCTGATTTTCAGACCACATCAAATATTGGATGGAGACCAATATACTATATTCTGTCTGTTATTCTTGTCATATCTACTGTCATTTGGTTCCTGTTATATAGAGATGACCCAGAAGAGCACTTTCTGGTTACACGTGTCGAAGTCCAAACAATTACTGGTGGAAGAATCACGGATCACAAGAAGGACAAAAAGACACCGTATCGAGAGGTTCTCTCGGAAAAATCAGTTTGGGCTGTGTGGTTTGCCGGATTCGCCGATATTTTCGCCAGTTTCGTTTTTCTTGTATATGGTGCACAATACTATGAATATCTCGGAATGGACATTCAGGTAATCATGAAGATGTAAATCTGCCGTATAATATAGTGAATTCTTCCAGGCAAACGCATGGCTCAATTCAATGAAAGGTTATCTGTTTATCGGTGTTCGTGTCATTGCCGGTCTCGCCTCGGATCGTATTCATTTTCTTCCGGAAAAATCAAAATTGCGGTTATTCAACACGATCTCATTACAAGTACCCGCGTTTTTCCTCGTTCTCGTCGTTTTAATGCCCCGTGAGCACCCATATCTACATGTCGTTTGCATCACCTTCTACCAGGCTTCGTTTGGGTTTAACTGTGGAGGATTCTACAAGGGAGCAGCCTTGATATCGAGGTTTTTGAAGTTTTTGGCATTCGGTATTTAAAAGCTGATTTTCAGGCAATTCTCTTACTTTGTAATCGGGTATATTCAACTGTTCAAATCGTTAGCTACTCTGCTCGAGCCTGTACTCTTCTCCCTTTTCGTACTTCCAGGAAGTGAAGGAGGCGAGTTTTCCCACCCTGGTGTTGTGATTCTAAAATTTATATTTTTCAGCTGAACTTTCTTGGACGAGCTACTTCCTGATCCATGCAATGACACTGACTGTTGCCAACACGGTGTATGTCATTTTTGCTAGATCAGAACCGGCTGACTTCGTTCTGAACGCCGACTTAGAGCTCAGCAAACCTCAGCTTCCATGCGAAACCTCAATCAATTAACACTATTTAATAAATTATTCATATCGCCGTTCAACACCGTCTGAAACGTTATCTGCCTAATCGGGAATAGCCAATTGATAGATCTCGAACAAATTGATGAAAATAATCATGTTGGGTGAAAAATGACTTACCATTGCCATCACTAATAAATGATTCAACGAATACTTGCTTTCTACAACTAAATACATTACAACATCATCGAGAATTTCTTAAATAAAGATCTCTAGAAACTTTACAAGACATAATCAGTTCAGCAGGAAATGATATCTGTAAATCTTGTATCTTGTAATAGAAGCACAATCGGAACTTTGTTGAGACCGAAAATTACGAATCAGAGTTGAACCGTTTGAATTTCAATTTCCTCAAAACAGGCTGAAAAGGAAGGCGTTGGTTTTGTTCCAGGGTTTACGGTTCGTCTGGAATGCGATTCTGCTCGCCGCTTTGTCACAGCAGTGAAATTTGAATCACTAGAATCTTTCGTCTATTCCCCATTCAGATCACATTCTTCATGGAGGCGGTCTCAAGTTTTCTCGTTATCAACCTGTTTTTCATAATCAGAAGAAAGTTATTCACCAAAAGTTTATGATCAAAAAGGGGATGCGCTACAATTTAGATCGTAGTTTTCAGGGGAAAAAGAAAGAATGGACATATTTTAAAAGTTAACAGTACAACCATCATTGAACAAAACGCTTTTCTTGTGAGACAATCGGGCGCAGTGAGCACTGATTATCAACATAATACAACGAGAACAGAATGACGAGAGATCTTTAGTAATCTTAGGAGTACGAAGGCCGCTACTTCTTCCTGTTGACATTACACAATGTTGAATGAAGCACTGGTGAATATGATAAGTCTAAAATGGGAATAAAACGTTGTTTAGCGCTGGGGAAACATACCGGAAATGTTGGTGGATAACTGAAAATTGAAGGAGATGCGAGGACAGAATTCATGACTCAGCATACTGAAAATCGACACTAATCTTGTAAACCAATGAATGTTGTTGTGGGGATAAAAAGAATGAAAAGGTCAGCTTTATAGAATGGCAATAAATCAATATGAAATCGTACTTAGTTTCCAGCCTCTGGATTTCCCTCCTGCTCTTGATCGTCTCCTCCAACATCCGATGTCCAGAGAGTGAGATTGTCACGTAGAAGTTGCATGATCAAGGTAGAGTCCTTGTACGAGTCCTCATTCAGAGTATCGAGCTCAGCAATGGCGTCATCGAAAGCTTGCTTCGCGAGTTGGCAGGCGTGTTCTGGAGTGTTCAAAATCTCGTAGAAGAAGACTGAGAAATTGAGGGCAAGTCCCAGACGAATTGGGTGTGTTGGCTGCATCTTATCCTTGGCGATGTCAAGGGCCTCCTGAACATCAATAAATTGAAATTAAATCATGATAATTCTCGTCAATACCTGGTAAGCGTTTTGGGATTTTTGGACCACGGCAGCACGGTCATCGGAAGCAACCTCAGCGAGGTATCTGTAGTAATCTCCCTTCATCTTCAGGTAGAAGACTTTGGACTCGGCAGCTCCGGCTTTGACGATAAGGAAATCATCAAGGAGTTTGAGAACATCCTGGCAGATGTCGTTAAGCTCTTGTTCGACCTAAAAACAATATCTATAGAGATTCGCTTAACGGTAGCATTAATTGAACAAGAAAGGAAAACGCTCAAACTGTTTCAATTCGACAACAAGAAAACAACACACCACCCAGCTATATTCAAAATCATTAGCATTACCTTGATGCGGTACTCCTTAGCGAGTTGTTGCTTCTTCTCGGATCCCTCGGTCTTCTGCTCGATGGAAGAGATGACTCGCCACGATGAACGACGAGCTCCAACGACGTTTTTGTATGCAACAGAGAGCAAGTTACGCTCTTCGTTGGAAAGCTCTTGTCCTTGTTCGGTGACCTGAAAAAAATATCGGTTAAAATTAATTCGAAAAATCGATTGATCACCTTCTTCATGGCGGCGGCCATGTCATCGTATCTCTCGGCTTGCTCGGCAAGCTTGGCACGTTGAACCAACTCTTCCACGGTCTCGGTCATTTTTGATGAGCAAGTCTTCTGAAATAAAAAAGGTTTTGCTTTCGAAAACGATCGCAAAAACGACAATTCAGAGGCGAGAGCGGAAAAAGAGTGAAACTCAGAAAGAGGGGGCCCTAGAACATTCGAAGCAACGCGCCGCTTGAAAGTGTGAAGGAAAATCGATGGGCAGCAGTGTCTGGCCAATGGGTGAGCGCGTGCCGCGGTCGTCGCATGACAACAACTAAAGTGGGCATCGCACACTCACTCAATTTGTCTGTCTCTCTTCCATATACACATATGCGTCACACATAGAAGGAATCGTCTACAAAAATTTTCAGATTTTGGGGCACTTGATAAGAAAACACGAGATGTCGAGGGACGTTTGGCACCAGAGGCAGCAGACATAGGTCTTCGGAGCATGTTACACTAAACTCAGCAGAGGTTTCGAGAAAACTTCATTCAAACTACTCAAATAAGTGGAGGTCCGCAATGACTACTTTCTTGACTGGCAAAACGTTCAGACGGAAGGAGGAATTTTGAAAAAATCTAAATTTTGGGGCCAATATTTCGTATCATGAGAAATTATCTTTGAGGAAGAACAATTATGATGCAAATCGATACAAAAAATGATAAAATTAACAAAAATGGGTCGCAACAGTAAACATTGGACGAAATAGGCAAGAAAACAGCTCGAATTCTAGAAGCTTTCTGTGAAAAACCCGCCGGTTCGAATGTGTTATTTCGCGGGGTAGCGACGTTCGCTGCGGGATATTTCGCATAGAAAACAGCATGCGCCTTTAATCTCCGACGGCGGCGGCAGTTGGAAAAAGAAAAACGCCGAAGCAATGGCATTCGGAAAAAAAATTTAAAAGTGAAGAACACTAATCGTTTGGTTTATCAGTGCGGGCCGACAGCGCAGAGTATTATCAGTGTGTCAGGGAGTGTAATTCAAAATGACAAGTTGGTCGGGTGAAAAACGAAAAAAAAGGAAATGTGAAAGATCTTAGTTTCGAGAAAACGCCCAAAACTTGACAAACAAGTCATGATGAAAACAAAAAAGGGAAGAAAAATATCAAAACAGAAGGTAAGGAGACGTTTTGCCGAAGATTTCTGTTCTTTTTCATGAGAAATTGAATATCGGTGACAGGCAAGGCTGTCAAACGGCCGGCCGCGGCCTCGGCCGCGGCCTCGGCCGGCCGTCGTCAAAAAAAATTAAGACGCAACTATGGGTTTTCAACAAAAACATTGACTTTTCTTTCTGATTTTGAGCAGATTTTTTTGACAAGTAGTTTCGAAAATATGAATGTTGAAAAAGAATGGAAAAATGTAGAAAAATTCGGAATTTACAAATTATGCCTTCTATTCAATTGTCTCTCTAGTGTTCCCTTGAGTCACAAAAATAATTATTTTTTCTGTTAGTTACTCCCATTTGAAAAATCATTATTTTTTAACCGATTTTTCATGTTCTGGTGAGCATTTTCATTTCGAATGAAGTTTCCCTCGGCCCCGCACGGCCGGCCGGCCGAGGCCGGCTTTTCGGCCGCGTTGTCGTTTTCAAAAATAATAGCCGCGGCCTCGGCCGGCTATCATTTTCGACAGCCCTGGTGACAGGGAAACCAAAATTTTCTCACCATTGAGTAGGTTGAGAATATAATTATTTCTTTGTGATTCTGGTAGCCATGATTGCTCAACTTCCGAGAAGCTAATAGGCGTCAGTTACGCCCCCGGATTTTCTTTGACGTCAAGAGGTATCGCTACGCAATATGCATCACTTCTTCTGAAGACAAAGATCAAGCTCATTTCATCAAAGTCCCCATGGCGTTTGAAAATAAAAGACGACAACTGTACAACTGTACAAATTCAATTTTGTGCAAAATATAATATTCATATGGCACAGCATTCAAGTTTTGGTATATACAAAACGGAGAGAATACGTACAAGAGAAAAGATAATCGCTTGTTTTGGCAGGAGTCTTTCCGTGTTACTAACTCGGGAGCTTGCTGAAAACTCTCCTATTCTTTCGTTTTGGTAGGATTATTTTGGTACAAACAATGGGAGCTATGGAAGATCAAAGCTTGTATGCGTGCGTCACAATTAACGAAAACCTGAAGATTTCAGTTTTTCGTTTATTTCTATTACTATTTTTTTTTCAACAATATTCGTGTTGAAAACCTCCAAACAAGAAAATGGAGGAAACAATTGTTGATTACGGTAGTTGGGCTGTGGCCAAAGAAACCATATTTTATCTTCCACATCTTCGATTTTTGAATGCCAGCATAATAAAGAGATATGAAAATTGTTTGGACTAACATTAATGCATCACTCACAATAATTGAGATAGATCCAATATATATTATTATTATTGTTAACTTAAACTCTTATTATAAGCCCTATTGTCTATATAATGACTCTTCCCACAGAGGAACTTTGATGCATTCTGAAAATAAGGGTTTCATTATTTACGCTCATCCAATCTTCATTATCCGGAAGCTTTTTTCGTTCTCATCAGTCACCAAGTTCTCTGCTACATCTCCGTCGACCTAATTCAGTTTATATTTTTTCCATCACCAGTTCCTTTTTCGTAACCATAGAGATATTTTCCCAAATTTTATTTTACGTTTTCGCAGACGCTTACAATTTTTGTATAGTCTTGTTTTGTTTCTTTCAGCTGCTTCTTCTTTTTTCTATCGAATAACAATAGGAATTTAGAAAACATTTCGTATGGTATTTATTCTAGTGAAAGGAAATGTCTCAAGATAAAAAGTAGGAGATGAAGTTATCTAGAAGGATCACTAGCTTTCAGAAAAAAAATACGAATCATGTCCCCGGCTGGTTGTGGGAATATATACGATTATGACAATAATCCTCCGTTCGTAATGTGGTTGAATAATAGAAACTCAGGAGACTCAATATGAATAAGCAAGAGAGGAAAATGCGAAAATATGTATAGTGGAAAGAAAACTTTTGGGCAAAGTGTAAGGAAGCCTTAGTAATTGTAGGGTGTCCTTCGGATAAGTAAGCTTCGATTCGAAGAAGTACTGAGTTCATACTTCTGGAAATAATTTCGGAGATGTAAGAGGGTGAAAAAATATTTTCAATATGAACTCACGACTAGTGGAAACTAGTTATTTCCTGAATTTTATTAGCGTTTCACACAGATTACAACTAGCATTTGAATAATGGATTATACAACGATCAGCTTATTTATATTGTGATGTTTTAACAAAGGGTAAGAAAGAACAACGGGAAAATAAAGTTTGGCTCACACTAACTATTCTCCAGGACGCTTGTTAGGCGAAATCAGACACTTTAAAGGTTATTATGCTAAAAAAAGAGCCGGTAGTGTGTATTCCTCTTATAGGCCAGATCCCGATACACCGCCGCTTTGGGTCCGATAAGAAAAACAAATGGAGAGTAGACAAGTTTTTTATATCTCTTTCAGGACCCAAAAACGGATCCGACGTACAGTACCGGTCGATAAGATATTCAAAACCGTCGTTTTATGTTGATTGATTTCGACCATTTTAAGGAGTCTGGAGCTCGACTGTCAAGTTCCCGATGGCTCTGAAAATTTTGGAGAGTATAAAATAGACCTAGATTGAACACGTCGCATTCACAGGATTTTTTGAAAACTCCTAGTTTTTCAGCTATTTTCCGATTTCTGAAGGACACCTTTTTTCCTATTTTTGTACTGAATACGTGAAAAAAGTAGGAAGGTGACCTTCAGAAATCTGCAAATAGCTGAAAGTCTAGGAACTTTCGAAAAATTCTGTAAATATAAAGTTTTCAATCTAGATCTGTTTTACATCCTCAAAAGTTTTCAAAGGGATCGGAAACTTGACAGACTCCTGAAAAAGTCAAAATGGCCGAAAATCAAGGGAAAAATACGTTTTTCTATATCTTATTGATTGGTACTGTAGATGTTATAGGGATTCTGATTTACTAGAGGACCTACAGTAGTTTTCTGAAAAAAAAAACTGAATCGCCAATATTTAGCAAAACAGAGAACACTGCGAGCCTTGAAAAAATATTACCTGACATCATGGCAATCTGCTGAATCATTTATATTTTTAACAAGATTAACTCGTGCTAGCTAAACCCATGACATCGTCATAACTTAGAAATTATTTGAAACTTGAACCCTATAAGATTTGACTGTTGATTCATCAAACCTAGAAATTGGTATGTGCGTTCCCTTTGATGTTTTTTGAATTCCCAACTGTGACATCATCGAAATCCGAAAAGAAACCACCTTCTTCTGTTTCCTTCCGTTTCTTCTTCCTCCATCCAATCACACCCATTGTGTCCTTTTTCGTTTCACTCTTTCTTTTCCGCCAACTCAACTTTTTGATCATCAACTCTTTTTCCTCTTCTGTTTCTTCGGCTATTTCAAATTTTATTTCAGTCCCCCTCCTTCCGAAAATCTCAACAGTAAATATTATTTCTTTCTCTTTCTCTCTTTCTCATTATTGTGTTGCTCTCGGAGGGTTGAGGGGCGCGTGCTCCTACCAGTTGGCATGGCACCCGCCTTCTTCGAGTGTGTCTATTTGCTTCTCCCTCTATCACATGCACACACATAGAAACAGAAGGAAACGCCGAAGGAGAGACAATCTTAATTTCGAACGAGTGTTTGAGTGGCTCCACGGGCGAGCACTGTCTCGCCTCTCGGGTTCCATTTCCTTTTCATATCTCTTTTTATCTTCCATTTTTTGTCTCTTTCCTGGCTTCTGCTTATTCTTTTTGTTCTTCTTCCAAATATACAATTCCATGTTCTCAAGTTTCCATGTTGTTCGGTCCACCCCTTTGGTTTTCTCTCATTTATTCAACTTCTCCATTACTCCCCTATACTTCTTTTACTACTACAATTCCACTTCCAAAATATCTTCTTCTTCACCAACTTTTTTAATAAAAAATGAGAAAGAGTAAGTTTACTTTCTTTCAAAAACACAAGATTCGAAATAACGGCAAAAATAACATTTCATGTACTCGTGCGCATCTTGACCTACTTTTAGAACAAGAGGGATATGGATGCAATTCTAAAGAATTAAGTTCTGAGAAATTGAATGGTTTAGTTGTTTGAAAGTGTTTGCTCAAGATTGTGTGATCAACAGAGAGTTGTATTTTCTAAAAGACGAGGTGATTATGGTTCATTTGTCTGTAATAGAAGCTCAGCTGAAACAGGGTTGCTGAAAAGCGTGCAAACGGCGGCTGAAGATCAAGGAGTTGACTGTAATTTGCGTATTCAAGCAAGTGAGGACGAATTTAAGACAACAGGCATTAACGACAATTATCAGTAAGCAGAACATTATAAACAACTATGTTTTCAACTGAAAATGTATAAAAAAGTCTTTTTTTTCTTTTTTACAGAAAATTTTTGAAGAAACATAGTTTTTTGTTATGGTCCGATTAATAGTGCTTATCTTCTATACATTCTGTCACATTTTTTCCCCATTTGCTTAAATACGCAAATTATAGCCAAATTTTTCATCAGACCTTCAGCCGCCGTTTGTCCGCTCTTCGGCAACCCTGCATTTCAGGTACCCCACACTGCCAAGCTCGAGATAATTTCTACTGGCTCCTAAAAAAATCAAAAATGTGTCAACTGATAGAACACTTCCATTAGTATGACTAACAACTTGTCAGATGACAACTTTTTATATCTTTGATAGGAACCGAGGAAATTTGGCTCAAGTTAAAAGTTATGGGGACCTGATATTATAGGTTTCGCGGGAAATAAACATTTCAATTTGTCACGCTCAAAACTTACGTTTTTGCTCTTTTCTCAACAGACTCAACCCGGAGAGTACCGTAAGAACTGTAATAGGATACATAACACATTTTCAACGTTAACTCAACTTACCGTGTTTTCTCTAACATTTAGAAGCCCATCAAAACCTTCACCTTTAAGCTCAATTATCTCGATTCTTATGAAGTATATCAAAAAGTGATCAATCGACAAATATTTTTGGTATTATGATAAACTTGTCCGTTTTTCATTTTAACAATTTTCTATTTTGAATTCCCGTCCATCCTTTCTCATTTCAATCTTTGACCATTCACACTTCCCACCCGAATCCAAAAAGTTCTTAGAGTCTGCTTCGTGCTAAACGGTCAATTCCCTGTCTCTCTCTTCCTCTCAATTCCAATTGCCTTCCTCATCCGCATTTTCTTCTAATTTTCTTTATTTGCTTTCCATTATTTACGAGGCGCCCGAGTGTATTTACATGCTTCCATGAGTACGGCTGGAGCAAAATAAATTGTTGCTAATTTTGAAGTGGGAGATATTTTTTCGTCGTCTCCTGTTTCCTGTGCAGGACCATTTTTTTCCAATGTCTGTTAGGACATCTTTTTACTGTTTGACCCTACTAACAAACTTCAAATATGTACTAATGACTCATTTCCCCCACTTGACTTTTGTCACTTTCGTTTGCCAACATCTTTCAAAACTTGTCAGTTAATCCGATTTGGGCGCAGTTTCCCGTCCTTCAAGTTGAACCCCCGAAATTATGAGAAAATATTTCAGAATCCATGACAATTACGGACGAGTCAACTAGTCGGGTGGCTGATTCGACGGTCCCACCAGCTACATCATCTCCTTCATTCTTTCAGAAAATATGCTGCTGCTGTAATTCAGATCTGAAAGAACCCCCTGTTCAGTTGATTCGAAGTAGGTTTCATTTAACTGTCATACCGTAGTTCTTCCATCTCTGATTTATATTCTCGGTTTTAAACTTTGGACACCGTAAACACTCTTATAGAACGCCTCAACCCGTCAGCTTTGAGCTAATTTATTTAGGTTCCTATGAAAGATATCAAAAAGTGTTAAACTGAAAGAATATAGTTTTCCTTGTGATAAACATTTTATCAGTTAAGCACTGTTTGATATTTTTATGGGAAATGAGATTTGTGAGCTCAAAGTTTACGGTTTGGGGCGTTCTGTTCGAGTGTTTACGGTATCTGAAAATGCGTCATGGCAAGTACTTTTCTACCCAGTAATCACAATTCTAGTTGTAAAAACTTTTGTTATTGTAAGAATCTTTGTTTTCAGGCGGATCACTAACCTATCAACAAGGTGCTGCCGTCACTTCTGCTTCAGAACCAATTCCACCTGCGACAAATGTTATTTCGGCAGCCAAACGGTCTGTAGATGATGACGTGGAAAAACCTCAAACATCTCAGAAACCGAATCAGAAAGAAGGAGATGCAGACAGTGTCAACATGAATGATATTCTGATGGAGAAGATTCTGAGTCCAGCAGAAGAAGACAGAACAGAAGCTGTCGAAGAAGACGTTGTGTCGATTTCGACAAACGTGATACAAGAAGTTGACGAGAATGAATTGAAAAAAGCCATGAAACCTGGAAATGATGCGAACAGCCCGTTGAAGGGTAGATCAGGGATTTCTAAAGAAATGCCATCAGGTTCAGAGGATGAAGAAGGAGAAGTTGAGGGAGACAACCGGAAGATGTCGGTGATTGAATTCATTCGAAGAGAGGCACAAGCTGAAACTTCTACCACATTACCACCTTCAACAGTGCTACAAACAATTCCAGTTACTGATGAAATTGAAATTGTGTACAAGAATGAGAAAATGTCAGAAGCCACGCAATCTGAAATGTCGGATTCCGAGGGTACAGACGAAGATGATTCTGAAACAGCTGGAAAGCAATTCAATATGGTTGGAATGTCATCAAAGACGACGGCTCGTGCTGAGAAGAACGGAGATGCGGAAGACAGACGAGTTCAGGAATTCAAAGAATTGAGTTCAGATGAAAGTTTAAGAGGATCAACAGAAGATGAGGATGACGAGGAAATCATAACAAGACATCAAAAACTGGAGGAAGAAGAAGACGTTCCTCCACCTCTTCCACTAACTCCACCTCCAAACCACTATGGTCAACTGGAAGGTTCCCCGATTCCACCACCACGTTCGCCTAGAAAATCCATGATGTATGCAAATGCAGATGATTCGGACTCTGATGACGAAGAAAGTGAAGATGCCCATCCAGTTTCACCACCTTCTAATGGTCTCGTTCGAATGCACCCGGTTAACTTTGCCGCTCATAAAGAAGAAGAGGATGATGCTCGATCTGTATCTTCTGATTCTTCTCTCTCGACAGCTTCCGATGTTTCTGGAAAAGAAAACGAAGAGGAGACTAATATCGGTGTCACTCGTATTTCAGTCAAAAGTGATGGACGTGCAGAAGTAACCACTTTGTTTTCTTAATCTCTTAATTTCTTATTTTTTTTCAGATTCACTCCCCAAAGAGTCCAGTACGCGTCACATTGGACACAGACCGAAACGAGGTCACTGACGACGACTTCTCAGAAAAACTTATCTAATAAAACCAAAAATGTTCTACTGACCAAAGTATTTGAGCTTAGTTCTTCTGTTCTTAGTTTTGGACTTTTATTTTTCACGGGGTTCGAGCTGCAGTGCTATGCGTTTGCGCTCTAATGAGAAGGAGCGTGATAATTCAAACCACACGCCTTCTCATTAGAGCACGTCCGCATACTACATCAATTCGGACTCTGTGACTTTTCTTGTGTGTCAAAATGAAATGCATAACTTCCTTAAAAAAAATACTCCTTCATTATGCAAAATCTACAATAAATATACAAAATATCGATTGCTAACAGCAATCCGCAGGAGTTCCAAAATGATTATTCTGCAGCTGTGTAGTATATCATTTCGGGGATCTGTCCATCCTCCACACTCGTTCCGTTGTTGTTCATAGCTGCGTATGTGAATTGGAACGTCACATCACTGTCATTGGTGCTGACACGACGGAGGCCTTTGGTGCCATAGTAGGAATCTGGTCCCTGAAAAAAATCAATGTTTTAAACGTATCTAGTGAAAATTCAACTCACTCTGATGAGCGCAGCAGCAATGTATGTGATTCCTGGCAGAATTTCAACAGGTTCCTTGAAACATACACGACATGGTCTTGAATTTCCATCGCAGACAAAACTGGTATCATGCTCGGCCAGCGTCTTGTTTGTCCCACAATGAATGATCTTGATTTGTGTTTTGTACTCGTGAGGTCCCGAGATTGCTCCGTAAAGCCCAAAACCAACAACGAAGATTCGACGATCCACCATGAATTTAATACGATCCGAAGTTCCATTAAATCCCCATCGATTTTCGATTCTTTGGAACCGTGAAACCACATATTCCGTGCTCGATATCTGACATCTTGGACGATCCGAATACACAAGTACTGGACGATCAGGTGGAGAGACTGCCAAGTATTTATAAATCTTGTTCATTTCTGACTCGGAAAGCAGTTGGGGGTCTACATTTAGAGCGAATTCTTCCATTTTCATCAGAGGAAACCGGATGAGCTGTATGGCTCGCGAGAGCACTATCCGTCGGTTATCCACGCTCGCTGGCAGCCCACGTCTCTCCGCTTCAAACTTCGACCATCGGAGTACGGCCTAAAAAAGAACGTTTTATAGTTCATATGGATATTTTTGTTCATTTTATTTCTTTCTCAAAATATGAATAAAATCGTCAACAAGTCGATGATAGGCGTGGCTAAGCGTATTATGATGTGCCGACCTACACATTTCAAAGTTAGTAATGATTGTTAAAGTTAGAATTCGATATATTCTTGGAAATTAAGGTAGATTACTCAATCAATCCATGGATGGATGAAAAAGTTCAAGCCGATTTCGAGAAAGCAACAAAACAATGGAACACTTTGAAGTCGACAATCGAGAAATGTGGTGCTGAAGTGGTGGTAATGGAATCTGAAGACGCTCGTGACTATCCAGATATAGTATTCTGTGCAAACGCTGGAATCCTCCGTGGCAAGAAAATCTATCTATCACATTTTGCGTTTCCCGAAAGATATGGAGAGCACGTCTTCTACAAACGATTTTTCGATGAACTAGGATTCGAGACGTCGTTCAACCGAAAAATCATTCATGAAGGTGCCGGTGATGCGTTATGGTGTGGAGAAGGAATGAATATTCTTGTGAGTGGAGTTGGTCCACGATCTGATGTCCAGGCATGTGAAGATATTCAACAGAAGATCAAATTGAATGCGGACGATAAATTCTATGTCGTGGCTGCTCGTCTAGTGGATCCTCGATTTTATCATGTGGATACATGCTTCTGTCCATTAGATGAAAACCTCGCAATGGCATATATGCCAGCATTTGATAGTGTTTCGCAGAACAATATTAGAAACTACACTGAACTTTTGCCGGTAATCAGTTTTTGAAACTTTCTGAACTACAGTAACGAAATTATAGGTCCCCGAAAAGGATGCACGTCGGTTTGTTTGTAATTCAGTGGTTATTGGAAAACATGTAATTGTACACCATGGATCTGATATAACATTCAAGTTGCTCGAGAAACATGGATATCAAGTTCATCCAATCGATATGAGCGAATTCATGAAGGCTGGTGGATCGGCAAAATGTTGTACTTTGAGATTAGAATAAATTATTTTTCCTTTGCCTAATTTTTTTCAAAATATTACCTGGAACAAGAAGATTTCTCGAATCCGTAGATTGTCTCTTGTAAGAACTTCACACAATGTATCCAAGTCAATATCGATGAATCCTTCTCCATTCAAAGCTTCCAGTGTATTTTTGTCGATAACCTCAAGACACTTCTGCGTCAATTCTGGTTCATCGAACAGTTTTGCTTGAGAAAGCATCATGAAAGCATTATCAGGAACTAGGCATTGTTCTAAGAACCTGACACATTCCTTTTCCATAGCTGGGACAGCATATTTCTTTGCTAAAAAATATAATTGTTTTCATAGATTAAGTTTTAAAAAAATACCTGTATAGAGAGTGGTCATCACAGATTCTGCTTCTATTTTCACTTCGTCAGAATACAAAAACTTGAGAAGAGCAAGAAATGCGGATGGTTCGACATCAGGCAATTCAATTTCCAATGCTTCTTCTGAAATTCAAATGTCACATCGCCGAATTTTCAGGAAAAGTTCAGATTACCTGGATGATTGGGCGTGAGTCCTCCATTGAACATTGCATCAAAAACAACACTTCCAATAGAGAGTACAAATTTATGAGCTGGAATTCGTTGTCTAAATTCGTCCACTCCAACCACAAAATATACATCAGCCAACGTTTCGTTACAATACATATGCTCGATTCGTTCTCGCAAAGTTTTCTTGTCTGCTTGCCATCCAAGGAGAGGACGTGCTCCCGGGTTTTCGTCCGCGGTGTTCGTTGGTTCTGAACAGATATTCATAATTGTAAATCGGGCTCTAATCGTATATGATAGAACTTAGGAGTACTACAAGGTTTTGGAAAGCTGTATCTTGTATATGAACAAAATTACAAACAAAAGGGGCCGGACCAGCCACTTTATGGCTTATAACTTGGTTCATAGAAAAGATACAATTTTCGAAATTGCACCATTCTGTATCACTTGTCTAGTTCTATCATGTCCAATTTAGTCGGTCCAAAAATATTGATTCTAAACGAAACTATGGCAGAGCCAGCGAAGGCCCGCCAGGGCTTCGTTTACAAGTAACTTTGAGTTGTAAAAGGGCTGCCGATCTTGGCCCTGTCTGTTATTTTTGCGTCGTTTCGTCTTTAACTTTGTTCATAGGCAAGATACAATTTTCGAAATAGTATCATTCTGTATCACTTGTCGATTTCTATCATGTCCAATTTAGTCGGTCCAAAAATATTGATGCTAAAAGAAACTATGACAGAGCCAGCGAAGGCCCGCCAGAGCTCCGTCTACAAGTATGTGAACATGTATCTTTTTCTTACTTTTCTTCTGTACAACGGCCACTGGCTTCCTTCCAATAGCTATCAGATTAGAAACATGCTCAGCCAAATTTCGGCTAACTGGAAGAATATTAACGGCCTTGTCACTGTTTGGAGATCTTCTTAAATCGTCACGCGGAAGACGATTTCTGAACAAAGCTGAAAGATAGAAACCATAACTTAGATGAACATTTGCAAAAAACCAAACCTGCAACTTCTCCGAGTGACGACGTAGAAGAGGAGTGTAAATGACGAGAGGAACTTGGTTGCGAACTAGATGCCGCATAGTCTTGGAGCACGTTAGCCGGAAGATCAAGAGTAGAATTTGACTTTTGTTGTTGGTTTTGATTCTGATGCTCATGGTTGGCTGCTGTTCGGCGAGAAGGATATAGTTGGTTTGCTCTGAAACACTTTTCAGAATAAAATGGAACTCTCATTCAACAGTACAAATTTTTGGCATGCCATTGGATGACGTCTAAATCTTCAAAATACATATAATCATCTTGTACTAACCATATCACTAGGCCCACATAGTTTCAATGTAAATATTTGAATTAAGTGTTAGGTTTCTATTAGTATCCAAAGTCTGAAATGGTGCTCTATTGAAATTAAATTGAAATTCGTCTACACTTACCCTTGGAAAATGCTGTCCGAGTTGCTAGCCTCACATGAATCTTGTGATTCCCGTCTATAACTATTCACGAATAAATGTTTAAGTCAAAATTGAGATACTACCTGTTACATGGTACTTCTTCTTGGTCTTCAGAAGCCTTGAAATATAAAATATAGAGATCAATGAAAAAAAGTTACCGAAATAATAAACTTACCTCAACTACATTTTCAGAGCTCATAATGAATCTAGATTAATCTGAAAAAATGTGTGTCGTATCCGAGAGGCTTTATCCAGTGTCACTTGATCACCTAATGGCTAGAACTAGTCGATTTGATGCGTGCGATAGAGCGCGGTTGTGGAAAACAACTTGGTACTTAACGTTGTTTATTGAAGGATAAGGCAGCCATCACAGACTCATAAACAAAGAAAAAAGGCACAAAAAAAAATAAGAAAACAGGTAATAGGCATGAGATTCTATGGATAACACTAATCTAAGCAGTGGAAAAACATTAAATTAATTCTTCTTGGTTTCTTCAACTAGATCGTTGGAGTGCTCGAACTCTGGATGACGCTTTCCAATGAACGCCGAGATTCCTTCTTGACAATCTTTGAGCTTCAAATTACCAACCATCACCCGGGATCCATACCTAAAATTAGTTGCATAAATACTGGAAAACCAAAATAATATATTACCTATAGGCATCGGCTGTTCCCAATTCGGCTTGGGTGTAGAAAAACGCTTTGCCAAGAGATGTTACCGAACGGCTGAACTGTCCAATTTGCTCGGCAACTTTGAGGGCCTCGAATTTGACCTGATCATCGTCCACAACTCTCGAAACTAATCCAGCTCGCAATGCAGCTTCGGAGTCGATCGGTTGTGCAGTAAGAAGCATATCCATGGCTACTTTTTTTGGTACTGCTCTTACTAACGCGATTCCTGGGGTAGAGCAGAACAATCCAAGTTTCTGGCTGAAAAATTATTATCGTTAATTCAAATCCAATAAAAAACAACGAACCCAGGAACCAGAAACCTGGAAGACTTTCCAGCGACAACTACATCACAGGAGGCAACAAACTGTAAGCCTGCTGCAGCAGCGGTGCCGTTCACCTCGGCAATAACTGGAACTTTCATATTTCGAATAAAATTCATCATATCACCGCATGTGTTGAAAATCTCGTTGTGCTTGTCGGTCCCACTTTCTGTTGTCTGAAAAACAACTTCATGTGTTTGAAAAATCCACAGTAAGAAACATACCAGTTCTTTCAATTCGTGTCCTGCAGAAAACGACTTTCCATTATGAGCAATTACTACTGATCGGACCTTAAATAGACAATAACTTTTTAACCTAAAACATGTTGACTCACCTTCTCAATCTTATCAATCGCCTTCAGTTCTGCGAAAAGCTCTTTTATCATAGCCAGAGACAAAGTGTTCATTTTTTTATCATTCAAGATGAATCGTACCACGGAGTTTTCCTGAAGTCCATTTGGCTCGTAAGTTTGAGACAGACAGGAAATTGAGGAACTTTGAACTATCGGGAAACGAAAATCAAAAACAATGGGAGAAATTCACTGAGGAATTATTCAGCTGAAATTCAAACTGTTGCATCTTGTCACTGCCCTAGATTATCTGAGCTCCACCAATTTCTGGATACCTCCCGAAAATCGTGGATACTCTCGATAGACTCATTTCATGAATAAACAGCTAGATACTTCAAGCTTCTAACCGAACAGCTTTAAATTTGCCCCAAAAATCGTACATTCAATCTGATTTTCGTTCCCCGATTGTTCGAGCGTCATCAATTTCTGTAGTCTTTATTCATTTCATGTCTCGTGGGTCTGCATAGGAAAAAACTAACTTGATAGAGTTCTCTATCCAAAAGAGTCCTAGCAGCAGTTGAAGTGGAGAACCCTCGAATCGAAATTTTCAACATTTCGTCCCTGAAAAACAATAATATTGGCCAAAAGTTGGTTGTCACAAAACTGTATTTTTTTAGTCAATCAGTATTTCAATCAGGTTTTTCTCCGGCAATCATATTATTATTCCTCTCACTCATATTTTTATCACTAAAAAACTTCAAACACGGCCATTTCTGATAAATGCGGGAGGCGGAGCTTCATTTGCAACGCGCCGCACGCTTTCGCAACCGACTATGCGGCAGCCATCGTCGTTTCATTTTTCGCGGTTTTTTTCTTTTTTTTGAAATTTACTTGCAATTTTGGCGATTTTCCATTCATTTCTTCGCCTCAAAAATGAGAGCTTTGAAAAAAGCACTTTCGAAAAATAAATTGTTGTCGCAAAAAAGTCGAATCAGCTTTGTGCGAGTGTAAGTTACGTTCTGGATAGAACATAACGATTTCAATGCTCTGTTCACTATTAGTACTTCCGTGTCATTCTTTTTAATTCGACTAGAAATATCCAAAATCTGACTTTCTCAAACATACGCTTTTAATCAGTCAATTAAGTTCGACTTCGGCTAGTTTTTACAAGCAGTTCAATGCATTTGATTGCTTCATACTCGGGTCATAATGTAACCGTCCTCTGATTTTTCTATATATCAGTATTTATGTGATAGCTGTTTTCAATGTACCAGATTGTTTCTCTCGATTTTTGTTTCTTCAATTTTTTCCCCACTTTTCTGGAAACCTCGCACAATTATGAGTCATCCATTCACTTCTCATGTTTTGAAATTCTTTATATTCATAGGAACCTCATTTGCATTCATTATCAACAATCTCTATTGATCCCCAGCACGTCATCATTGCGCGAAGTCCTCGCTTTTCGCACCTCTCTTTTGCTCACGTCGCCACCGCTGTCATCGTTGTGTCGCCTTCAGCGATAACGCCTTCTTACGAAAACATCGTCCAGCAGGAAGACTTCTTTACTTCTCTCCGTCTTGTCAGCCGAGACAGCAAGGGTGTTCAGTAGAGCGCAGTGAACCGCGACGCGAGCCCTCGCGCTGCGGTCGCTCTTCTCTCTGTTCTATATCTTTTCTCTTTCATCTCCATCTCCGTCCCAGTGCAATTGGTTCCTCAGCCGGTTATAGAAACATAGGAGTGCCGCTGCTCCGTCGCTAGCTGTCGTCTGATCCTCTGTCACTGGCCAATTGGCGGGCCCCTCATATCTCTGCAGTTCTGCCTTCTCCCCCTCAATCTCCTCAGAAAACAACAATTTCGTCGTCTCTCATCACCCCGCGTTCTTTATCGTTTTGATGTCTTTAAATCAATGTCAGCTTCTTTCTTTCTGCGATTATTCTCTTTCAGAGTACTGTTTGTACCCTTTTGCGAGAAGTACAAGATTCAATTCATTTCCAAACATGTGACCTCACTGATTCTTATAATGTAGTAACTAGTTTTATCCTGAACAGGCGGAATTGCCTTTCGTGGGACACATATACTGAACAGTCAACATGTTATTGTGAAACCCAGCTGAAGTTTCTTCTTTGCCTTATCGGAACGGTATGAAAATTGTGTTACACTCATGGGTCGAAACGCAAACATCAACTTATCGATTTATTTTCGCAAGAATTTCAGCGCGTGGTTCTCTTTTCATCTAGTTTTTGTTTAGTGAAAAATGGAGTAAAGGGGACGGAGAATGAGGGACATTTTATCACTGCAGAGACTAATCCTTTTCGAATCAATAATGATCCATGAAAAAGGTTTTTTTTTCGAAAAGTTTTTTTCAGTTCATTTCGTAGGCTCTTATCGTTTTTTAATTGATTGGACAGTTTCGCTCTGGTGATAAGTCATTTTCTTCCTCTTTATATTTTACTATATTGCCTTCAGTTTTCCGTTTTCTATTTTTGTCATAGAAGCTGTGAGACGAAGGAGCTCTTAATCCCTCTTGTCTCGCAATCCTATCAGTTCGTATAACAGCGCGAGAGAAATCCGCTGTATAGTATTGATTAGGCGGCGACTGCGTGCCCTCCTCTTTTTCGCGCCTTCTCAAACTGGTGCTTCGTTGCTATGAGCAGCCAACATCGTCTTACTCTTTTTCTTCCATCTTGTTGATGTCACTCTAACACACTATCTCGCTTCATAATCAATTACTCAGCATTTCAGTAGTATGGCTGCTGCCCCACCATCTGCGGACCCTCTCGATAAAGCGTTGATTGTGGATGTGGATCAATGGATCGAGCAGCTTTATGAATGTAAACCCCTCTCGGAAAATCAAGTAAAAACACTATGTGAAAAGGTTTGAGTTCGAGTTGTGAATTCAGTTTCTCTTTTTTTATTTTAAGGCAAAGGAAATCTTGGAGAAAGAGCCAAATGTACAAGAAGTTCGGTGTCCTGTGACAGTGTGCGGAGATGTGCACGGTCAATTTCACGATTTGATGGAGCTCTTCAAAATGGGCGGAAAGAGTCCGGACACCAACTATCTCTTCATGGGAGATTACGTTGATAGAGGATACTATTCTGTAGAGACTGTCAGTCTTCTTGTATGCTTGAAGGTTTGTTTTTCTACCTAAACTCGAACAGGAAAATTTTATATATCTGCAGATCCGTTATAAGGACCGAGTCACGCTTCTTCGAGGAAATCACGAGTCTCGACAAATCACTCAGGTAGGCGATCTTGTCCGGTTGAAAGTGTGTCATCGAGAAAATTTAAGGTTTACGGGTTCTATGACGAGTGCTTGAGAAAGTACGGAAACTCAAACGTGTGGAAGTATTTTACTGATCTCTTCGACTGTTTCCCACTGACTGCTCTTGTCGATGGCCAAATCTTCTGCCTTCATGGAGGGCTCTCACCATCGATTGATACCCTCGACCATATCAGAGCTCTGGATCGCATTCAGGAAGTGAGTAACATATTCTGAAGATTTTTTGATGTTTATGATTAAATTTTCAGGTTCCACATGAAGGACCAATGTGTGACCTCCTTTGGTCTGATCCTGATGACAGAGGAGGCTGGGGAATCTCTCCACGTGGAGCCGGTTATACATTCGGACAAGATATTTCCGAGACTTTCAATCACTCCAACGGCCTGACGCTGATTTCCCGAGCACATCAACTCGTTATGGAGGTAATTGTTTTCTTTCTAGGTTCAAATTTAAAGTCTGAGTTTTAGGGATATAACTGGAGTCACGACCGTAATGTGGTAACAGTGTTCTCCGCTCCAAATTACTGCTATCGCTGTGGAAACCAGGCAGCGATGGTGGAGCTGGATGATGATCTGAAGTACTCGTTCCTGCAATTCGACCCAGCTCCACGGAGAGGCGAACCACATGTCACCCGTAGAACGCCTGACTACTTCTTGTAGATACACGAAACCGTTCGATATCCATTCAATTTTTCCTTTTCCTGCTTGCATTATCACTCTTACCCAATTAATTCAATACTTCTCTCACTTCGTCCCCATCCCTTCCCTTTTCAGTCATTATATAGAATATCGTTGTTTCTTTAAAACCTTACCCATCTCCATCCTTCTATCTGACATTTTCATCTCTTTTCTGAACTTGCTCGATATGATTGTTGTGTTCCTTTTCTATACTATTGTTTCAACTTTCTCTTTTTCCTTTACTAAATTTAGGCGATCAAGTCGTACTTCAATTCTCAGAAATTGTCAGTACGGATGAATTATTTTCTCTGTTCATGTAAATTAGTATGGTGGAAAGAGTTTGGCAGAAACAGCAGCCACTCAAAAAAAACATCTCTGACTCTCTCCAATTCTAGCACTCGGTTTTCTTCCCATCAACAATAAACTTCTTCAGTCATCCCCGTGTGAGAAAAGTAGTGATCGTTCCAGATACGCTTCCGACCGTTCGCTGCATTTCTACATCCATTTATTGTCCCCCATCCATATTCTTACAATATACCACCTCTTTTTCTTTCTCGTCTTCTTTGTCTCGTATGATTGCTATCCAAAATTTCGAATGGACAACATCTCCGCCACCTTTATTCCCTCATTTTGTTCAATTATAATATTATTTTTGCCCCATCACATTTTTTGTTCATTATCAATGATCAATAAACTCTGTCCAAACTAGTTGAAAATGTAGAAAGCGAGTATGTAAATGCATACAATTTTTTATTTTCAAATTGTGAAGAAATAAGGTGAAAATTTGATTGGATGTAAGAATCAAGCATGGATCAGAGATGAACGGAATTCCTTGTGGAATTTCACATTTTATGCCTTCTCCGGGTTTAAGAAAATTCGGTTCCACTCATCTGGTATACCAGTAAAAAATTCGAAGCTGTGGAAGAGAAATGCCGGTGGCCGTGGCTGAAGGTCCCACAACGACAACTACAGTAAACCTAAAAATATTTCATTTTCCGGATTTATTCTCACTATTACTCTCGTCCGAAATCAATGCACGTTGCGGCCGAAAATTTACTCAAAATCGCATCGTCGGTCGCACAGCGAAAAAACAAATTGATGCATGCGCCTTTAAATACCGTACTTCGGACGGTTTTTATTTTGGGCCCTATTTGGCTGTTTTTTTCTATTTTATAAGAAAAATAAATTAAAGATTTATAAGAATTACACAAAATTAGACAGAAACAAGAGAAAAAATGAGAGAAATTTGAGAAAATTCGATAAATGTTGAGGTACTGTATCAAAGGCGCGTGCAATAATTTTAAAAATACAGTAAGGATTTTAAAAATACAGTAAAGCTCTGTGGGAGCTAAGCTCCGCCCACCGTTGTTTTCTCGGCCGCAACGTGCATTGATTTCGGACAAGAGTAATAATTTACGTCGATTTTGCTGTTATTTTTCCCAGAAAAGTCTGAAAGTAAATGTTTTCGACTGTGGGTTTTCGACAAAAATTGACTGAAGTTGTACAGAAATCGAGAGAAAACCAGCAAAATAAAAACATTTTCAGATTACGGTTTGGCCACTGCAATCCGTTTTTCTCTTCCACGCCCAGATTTTTTGTACCAGCAAAATTTTGAAGAATGCACGATTTCTACGGCACATTCTTAACGAAAAGAAAAGAAAAGTGTAGTCCAAACCCGAAATATGCTGCCTGACGAAAAAAGTCTGATTTTAAACTTTTATCAGATGGGAGAACCTAGTTCATCGTGGTATAACTCCATGGCTGTGTCTACACTGGGAAGCGGTAATCTTCGAGAAGCATTGAAACTGCCACCGGGAGAAGACAAAAACGAGTGGCTCGCAGTGAATAGTGAGTTTTATTTACTATAAAAATCTTAACTTTGGACGAGAAACGCTGGTGACCGTAGCCGAAGGTCCCACAACGACAACTACAGTAACCTAAAAATATTTTTATTTTCAGCATTTATTTTCTCGATTTTCACTATTTTCTGAAAATGGAAATGTTTTTAGGTTACGGTATTTTTCACTGCGAGAGCTTCGGGCACGGCTACCGGAGCCTTCAATAATGATCTGGATAACATGCATCTTTTTTTCAGTCATCGATCTAGTAAACCAAGTTCGAATGGTTTTTGGAGTGCTCTGCGAGGCTGAATGCACCGATATAAAATGTCCGTCGATGACAGCACATGGGAGACAGTACACATGGACCAGTGACGAGACTGTGTAAGTTTTGATTAGCTAAAATCCTCCGCTAATGAGCTAACTCCTTCCAGCCTGAACACAAGTGCTCCTCAATACATCGACCTCTCACTAACTTCTTGTCAACTCAACATAGATGACGAGAACGTATTTCCTTCCGAGATTGGCAAACAATTTCCTGCAAACTTCGAAGAACGATGTCAGACGATCATGAGGCGTCTGTTCCGAATTTATGCTCATGTATACTTTGCCCATGTCAGCCATTTCAAGGAAATCAAGGCGCTGCCTCATCTGAACACTTCTTTCAAGCAATTTGTACTTTTCGCGAATCAATTCCATCTTCTGAACAAGGAGGAAACGGAACCACTACGGGAAATCATCGAAAACCTTGTCTCATTCAGCTGAACTTTTTTTGGTAAAATCATGTATTCTGTGATTTATATTGTTCTTATCATACTACTTCCGGGGCTTTTCATTGTAAACCAAGTTATTTTAGCTTAAGCATTAAAAAGACTCTAGTTGCCTTGAATTTACGCACGTCTTAAAGTAAACCCACTCGGATTGTGAAAGCATTTCATAACCCGATTTCTCTATGTATTTACTGACTTGTTCGATTAAATCGAAATAAAAGTTTTTTTTTAATCTAAAGTGTTCATTTCCAATCGAGATCTATTCCCACAGAAATCATCACAGGTGTGGTGTGCCACAGTGATTCTGTGTTTGCTCTCTTCCTTTTCCGTGTTTACTTTCTCTCTGTCTCCGTGTGTTGCCTCCATATTTCAATACGTTTTTATCTCGACCCGATTCCACTTTTGAACTTCCCGTTCTTGTCGCTTACCTGCCGTAGTAGTACTGCCTAGGGTCACTCACACAATAACTTTCCTTTCTTTTCTGTGTCTCCATCTCGACATGCTGTATCTCTATATATGTTCAATATATATAGGTGAAAGTTGTGAGTCACTGGTTGCCTTGACTGTTTTGGATGAGAATATTTACATACTTCTACGTTTATGAGTTTTGTACTGATTCCTCGCATGGTCCTCCTCAAACTTCTAGTTATTTTTGCAAGACAGGAAAAGTAAAAAAAATGCATACATGAAAAAAGTATCAGGTTTCCACTCAAAGTATTCCACACAAGACTTTGAATTTATTGGAAAAATAGAATCTTTATTATTCTTGTATAAAAAATTGGAGCTGTGGAAGAGAAACGCTTGTGGGCGTGGCCAACGGTTCCTCTAACGAAAACCACCGTAACCTTTAATTTTCTGGCCCTTTTTCTCGATTATTTTTTGCTTTTCGACAAATTTTGCGTTCGAAATCTCCAAAAAAAAAATCGGAAAACACAACGATTCTAAATTAAAAAAAATTGTCGGAAACAAACGAAAATCGAGAAGAACTAAATTAAAAAAAAATGCTAATTACGGTAGTCCGCGGCCACCAGTTTACTTCTTCCACATCCCCGATTTTTGTATATCAGCATAACACTTAACCTTGTTCATCTGGAAATCAGAAATACGAATTCCCCAGCAATACTGTACTTGTTCCGGTGAACATCTAATTTTTCGAATTTCTCCCCGAGTCCTAATAGTTCTCTTCTCACTCCCTAAAATAATTTATTATTTTCCTCTCTTTATGGAACCACTCTCCTCTTTGGTCTCTACGGAAACCAGCAGCAACAACAACAACCTCGTTTTTCTTTTTCCTCCTTTAAGAAATCCATAAGCTTCTTGACCCTTTTGGCTTCTCTTCTATTTACATACAATTCTAGTTACACGGAGATCAGAATTTCTGGAGGAAGGGATTCTGTAAAAAAAGGAATGAGTCGGCACGGAGACAACGAGTTTCGACTCGAATTGGATAGTCTGCTTCCGAAAAATGATGAATCCATTACTAAAAGTAAGCTTTTTCTTATTATTGATGGATTACGGTACATCCGATAAAGAAGAGCTAAAAGTAGAAATTGAACTCTTCACACTGATAAGAAATTATTATCAGCTGAAGATTACTGATAATTTTAATCCTAAAACATGCTATTGATATTAAAATAATTCCAGGAGAAAACTCCCGTCGTCCATCAATATTTCGACAGCAAGACCCAGATGGAATCGAGAATGTTCGTTCACAAATTCTGAAATTTGCACGAGAGGGAAACGTAGAGCAGCTTCGAATTATATTGGACAAGCATCCAGAAATGGTTAACTTACCAGATGACAAAGATGGAATGACAGCTCTTCATTATGGAGCCAGATATGGAAATTTTGAGATTGTAAAGCATTTACTCAGTCGTGGAGCAATTCCAGTTACTAAAAATTTGGATGGTGATACACCGTTACACATCGCATCAAAATATCATCATGGATTCAGTGATATATGTTCAATCACAAATGAAAGAGGAATGGTTGTGATGGATCGACTGGATTCTGAAAGAATGTACAATTCTGCAACTAAGAAGATAATCAATTCATTGGTTGCAGCCAAATCGTGAGTTTCCATATTTTTTACAAACAGATCAATGACATTTTTTTGTGGATTCTAGGGATATTGACTCTCCCAATGAATACTTCCTGACACCTCTTCATTATGCTGCAATGAAATCCAATATCGCTGCAGTCCAGGCTCTAGTTAAGCTGAAAGCCAACGTGGATGCAGAAGACATGAATCAGATGACTCCTCTTCTTTTGGCATGTGTTCATGGAAGTCAAGAAGTGATCAAAGAACTTATCAAGGCCAAAAGTGACGTCACCAAAAGGGATCTTCGCCTGAATACTGTATTTCACATTGTCGCGCTTCGAGGAGAACCTGACTTTTTGAAAATGATGATGGAGCATGATCCAATAGAAGCAATTAAGGCTTTGAACAAAGAGAACAATGAAGGAAAAACTCCATTGAGGATGGCAGTTGAAGGAAATCATCCGGAGGCGTTGAAGAAAATTCTGGAAATGGAGAGCAAGAATTCACAAAAATGGATGGTGAGAGAGAAGGAATTGATTCATTTTGCCGCTGAAAAAGGATATCTCGACATTATAAAAGCTCTTGTGGAAGCTGGAGGCAACAAGAATGAACAAAATTCAAAACAAGCTCTTCCACTTCACGTCGCAGCTAAAATGAATCAGTTGGAATGTGTAGAGTATCTTATGGATGAGAATACTCGAGATGCGGCAGATGAAAATGAGATGACTCCTTTGATGTTAGCAGTATCCCAGGACAGTTTGGATTGTGTTAAATATCTGATTGAGAAAGGTGTAGACCTTACAATTACGGACAGGGATGAAAGGACTCCAGTCTACATAGGTGCGAAATATAATGCTCTTCTTTCCGTTGGATATATCCTACAATATTTGAAAGACCAAACTGAAACTACGCGGTCTGAAATATCGGAGACAGATTGTCTGAAAATGTCCCTTGCCTCCAAAAAATCACTTCAAAACATAATGGAAGATGAGAAAAGAACAATGGTGAATATGGCTGATCGAGATCAAAATAGCCCAATGCATATCGTTGCATCGAATGGTTATCTAGAAATGATGAGGGTAATTGTTCCTAACTTTCAATAAAAACGTTTAATTTCAAATTTTAGTTGCTCTACGAGCACGGAGCTGCAATTACTCAGGTGAACGAGGATGAAGAAACTCCGTTACATAGAGCATCACATTCTGGGCAAACTATTGCAGGTTTGAAGGAATTGAAAATGTTTAGCTAATTAGGTTTAAAGGTGGGGGGACAGGAGATTTTTCGGGGATTTTTTTGGAGCACGGGTATGCATTCTACCGTCACGGTGTACAACGCTTAATGTCACTCTGCGTACAGCTGTCGTCCTCGCCTTTATGTATGCAATCGGGCTGCCGCTGTCTCTTTCCCCGCGTGGTTCAGTCGGTAGCGGCGCCGCACGCTCAATCCTCGCCCCCATAAGTTCAACTCCTCAAGGGGCATATTTGAACGGAATTTCGAGAACATTATTTTTTCATGTCCCCCCACCTTTAATTGCAGTGAAGCAGTTGGTCGAATGGGATAAAAGATTGTTGTTGATGAAAGATGAAATGGGAAACAGTGCACTTCATTTGGCAGCGAAACATGGTTAGTTTGAATTTTATGTTTAGTTTGAAAATTATAAAAAGGGAAAAATTGTATTAAAAATCGGAGCTGTGGAAAAGAAAAGCTTGTGAGCGTGGCCAACGCTTCCGTAACGAAAACCACTGTAAACTAGAAATAGTTTTATTTGCAGAATTTATTGGGGAAAAAATAACAGATGAATCGACAAAAATCAGTCAAAACCGAAAAAAAATCTTAAAAATAAAAATCTTTCTAGATTACTGTAGTTGTCGTTGTGGGATCTTCAGCTACGGCCACCGGCGTTTCTCTTCCACAACTTCGATTTCTTGTATCAGAATAATATAAAAAACGCTTCAAATTTTAAAAATTGTACATTAAAAAAATTTCATTGGGAATGTTTTATGTATTTCTCAAAAAAAACATTAGTCCTCCAACTTGGAAATAATTTGAGAATCCAAGTACATCACCTCGATTTAAATTTCACTCCTATTCGTTTTCTATTTCTTTCCCACATCCCCTAAATTCTTTTTTTCTTCCTTTGCCATGTCAATCAGGCGTTCTTCTTTCAACACCATTTCCGAACACATCACGGTTTTTGCGCTATTTGGACCGCGGTCGAAACAGGCGATTCCAAGAAAAACGATGGAGAGAAAAAGGACATTTGCATGAGGAGATGAAGTGAGCACTGAATCATCATAGACGCAGACCATTTCGATGAGTAGAGCAGATGGGAAAGACGCGGCAGATGGTATTCTCTCCTTCAGTCGTACCCCTTCCCTGAATTCTCTATTTTTCAATGATTTTCATAAAACCAAAAAAAACGGAGATATTTAGCTTTGAAGCTTTCACTGAAGAGAGAACTGGAAAGCACCGTTGAAAAATTAATGAGCAGCGTGTGATTATGCTCACGTTCCGAAATGAGAGATGTAACTAATTATGGAGTGTGCAGAGAGGGAGACTCGAAAATTGAGACTTCAAGGGAGAGGAATTTCGAGATTCCCGTTGATGAGAGAAGTCAAAATATGAACCTCATCTGTTGAATACAAAATGGGGATAATGGTAACGGCCGTATGTCTAATGGAAACTGAAAGACAGGATGACAGATTGTGGGCATAAGGGATTGTCAATCGAGGAGATGCACTGAATATTTATTCTGTTTCTTTGTTTGGAATCACTGGAGCCTCTCCAGACCCCTTGGCCTCCTCAAAATCGCTTTTTTTCACCTGGAGCTTGGTTTACCTTCAATCTCTTCCCTTCCATCTGCCTTCCCAAACCAATTTTCGGATCAAATGCGGCACTTCATCTCATTTTCTAAGACTGCCCTCCTCTGACCCCCAATTAGTTGGCCTTCATTTTTTGTCTGCTTCTTCCTCGTTATCCATATCTGGTCGTGTCTTCATCCGATCACACCTGCTTCTTAGGCAATCCTTTTCTAATGAACGTTTAATTATAGGATCTCAGTACTTCAGTGCCAGATTGTTTACTGAAATGACAGGAAATTGAGAAAATAATTTTGTGGGAGCCTGAAAGTTATCGTCAACAACAGCAACGTGGCTTCTGAATCAACTGCTTATCAGTATTCAAGAGAAAGGTGTGAGATAAGCTCTGAATCCCATATCCAACACAATTTAATCCAATCCGTTTTCTCGTTTTCTCTGATATCATATATCCAGCGGAAACGTTTCCTGGCAACGCTACATGTGATAAGCCCAAATTCTCACTTCTTTTCTTCCTATTTCGATTCTCTTGCTCTCATGCTCTCTCTCTCTCTCTCTCTATGCATCTACAAAAGATAACTTGGCGCCACCAGTCCATCGATTTTCGACGACGGCAAGAGGTCTATCCGCGCAATTCTCGACGGTGCAGTCTCTTTAGATTCAACACTATCTCATCAGCAGCTCACGTCGTCTAAAAGAGAGAAGCCGTCGTCTCCTCCTCCTCCTCCTTCTCTTGTCCGTCTTCTTCGCTTTCCTTCCATGTCTCTTTTTCTTCTTCTTCTTCTCATTCGCAGTCCTTCGCCGTGGACGACGACGTCGCCGCGGCTCTTGACTAGTAACCCCCACCACCACCACAACTAGTATTCGTGCTTTTCGAGCACATAGCATGTAATCCTTTTTCGGTGAACCACCTGCCCTTGTCCGACCATAAGCATCTAATCCAGAGAGACCTCCTTCTTCCCTATGACCACCTGCCTAAAAAGAAAGAAGTGGCCACGCCCCTCGATTCACTGGACACATTCATTGTGCCTTCTTGATCTGAAGGACTGTCTCTTCTTCTCCTATTACCCCAGAGCTAATTTCATTCTTGACCTACTCAAGTGCTTCTTATGTCATTGATACATTTTTTCCAGTCGTCATATGGCGTCCACCTGAGTGACTTTAGTGGACATGTATAGTTTCCAACTAAGGCACGCGGTGAATGCCACGTGGCAATTCTGGGATTCAGAAGGTTGGTTTCATCATTCGTGCCGTCATTCGTGCGTATCATTTTCATTGAATTCGTTGAATAGAACGAATTCAAGCTGACTAACTCATGTGAATTTGATGCTCTCCTCCAGCCCCATTCATTAGGATGAAAGCTATCTTTTCCGGGAGTCTCTTTTCAATTTTTCGCCCTGTTGTTTAGTTTCTGTCGTAAATCCGAAGATAATGAGAAAGTGGACAGTTGAGAGAGAAAGAAAAAGAGGTCCCCGTGCCTTTCGTTTCGTCTTTCGCAACGAAAGGCAATTTAATTGGCAGCATAAAAGAATTCTGACCGTTGGATGGATAGCAAAATATGTATATTTGAGAAGAAGATGAATATGGAGAAGAGGAAAAAGAAGAATCAACAGGAATCCGCTTCTTGAGCAAACAACAATCTTTCGATTAATCATGCAATATTGGCAAAATTTAGTGCTCAAAATGGCCACTAATGAAAACGGGTAAAGAAGGATAATGACAATTCCGTGACAGCTTTCGTTTCATCGGAAATAAAATTGAGCAACGTTTCAGGGGAAAAATTGAGGTGGAACTAACAGAAAATCGAGTTGAAACCAATTTTGGAAAGAACCGAAATTTCAAATGCTCCTAAAACTAAAATATTTGAATGTTTTGAATATTCAAAAATAAATATTTTACTAATTTTGATATGATAGCTAATTTTGATATGATAGAACTCGACGAGTACTACAAAACGAAACTATTTGATAAGCTGTACCTTGTCTATGAACAAAGTTACAAGCTGAAGAGCTGCCGATCCTGGCCCTGCCCCATTTCATCTATAACTTTGTTCATAGACAAAATACAATTTTTGAAGTAGTGTCATTTTGTAGTTCTATTGTAAAAAATTAAGATGATCTAAAATATTAATCCTGAAAGAAACTTTGGCAGGGCCCCCAGGGTAACAATAAAGTTCCCTGAAAATTGTACAAACAACAAAAGACTTACAGGGAAAACAATTCATCAGCATTTCCCACAAACTTAGATTTTCGTATAATTCAGGCCACGACGCAACAACTGCAGTGCTTCTGTTAGCTGGAGCAGACAAAGAAGCCAAAAATTCGTTTCAACTGACGCCGTTACAAGTGGCCGTAGACAGCGGACAACTGGGAACTTGTCAGACTTTAGTGGGAAAGGGAGCAGAAATTGAGAACCAGAGTGATGCAAAGTATTTGAATTAGAAAAAAAAATGGAAGACTAATTTAATGGGTTATTTTCAGAACTGTTCTTCACACTGCTGCGTATTATGGTCACGACACAATAGCAAGATTTTTGATCCAACAGGGAGCAACTGTTGATAGAAGAGATGATAAAGGAAAAACAGCATTAGATGTTGCATGTGAAAATGGAAGGAAAGAGGTGGCTCGAGTACTTTTGGAAACTGACGAATTTGAATCACTGATGAGGCCAAATGATATAATACCATTGGATAAACATAGAAATCCAGAGAATATAGAAAGGGATACCCCATTTAGAACTCTATTGAAAAAGTTCCCAGATTTGGCTGCAATGGTTATGGATAGATGTGTTGAGTGAGTGTTTTAGTTTCGAGTGTTCTAAAAATTGTTGTTTCGTTTAATAAAATAATTCAACAATTGAAAAATGATTGTCATTCCAGAAGAAATACCGAAGATGAAAATGAACCAATACTCTGCGTAGCATACAACTTTGAATACATTGATGACACCTACATGTCCCGAGTAGCTAGTCCGGATGGAGATGGTGAACAGCTGATCGGATACAAAAGTCCATTTGACGAAAACTTCAAACTCATAAAAGATGCTCAAGCGTATTCAGCCAACTATGACCAAATCTACAGGAACCATCCGTTGAAAATGATGGCGAACGCAGAAAAGCTGTCCCTACTTTCTCATCCTTTGTCCATGGCTTTGCTGAAATACAAATGGAATCGTTTGGGGAGAGTAATGTATTATTCAGCTCTCTTCATCTATCTTCTCTTTATTATCAGTCTTACTGAATTCGTACGTCATACGAAGGCTCCGTACAATGTTCCTATGGGAAATGATACTTATTATGAGAGCAGTTTCTTTGAGGACAACGAAACATGCCCCAAATTGTAAGTTCTGTGATACCGAGAAACAAAACAATGTCAAAGTATTCAGGATATCCAAAAACCAGACTTCTTTTGGAAACGGATTGCTCAAATACTGGCAATTTGTCAAATCGGAATCGAATTCTTCCAACTTTACCAACGAAAGTTTGCTTACTTAACAAATTGGGAAAATTGGATCGATTGTTTCATTTATTCTACAGCACTTCTGACAGTTTATGACTTCACAGAATGTTCTTCAACTTCTGGAGTTCGATTGAATTGGCAATGGCTTTTGGCAGCTCTATGCATATTTTTCGGATGGATTAATTTGTTGTTCATGATTCGGAAATTGCCAAGATTCGGAATATTCGTAGTGATGTTTGTGGATATTGTGAAAACTTTCTTCCGATTCTTCCCGGTGTTCGTTTTATTCATTATTGCGTTTTCTTCTTCCTTCTACGTTATTCTTCAAAATCGGGTGAGTACTTTTAATTTTGGAAAATTGCAGTTGATAAGTAAACACTTTAAAATTTTTTTCTAATTTTTCTATTTTTCAGCCAGAGTTCTCTACAATATTCGTCTCGCCAATAAAAACAACTGTGATGATGATCGGAGAGTTCGAATTCACTGGAATATTTCACGGTGATTCAGATTCTCACACAGAGAAAATGTTTGGTCCAGCTCACAATGCGGTCGCTGGTGTATTATTCTTCTGCTTCTGTATCATCATGACAATTCTTTTAATGAATCTCCTTGTTGGTTTGGCAGTCGATGATATCAAAGGTGTACAGGAGAAAGCAGAGTTGAAGAGGCTAGCAATGCAAGTGGATCTTGTATTACAAATTGAAGCATCAATTCACTTTTTTATCACTAGAATGAAAAAGTATCCGACGAATCGGTTCGCACATTATCCACTCGGAAGTCAAAGCCGATTCGGTATATGGTGGACAAACTTCAGGAAGAGATTTGGGTTGAATACAAGCAATGATGATGATTCGGATATGCTTATGGAGTATGAATCGGTTTGTAACATACAGAATTATCGGAATTTCTCGTTAATCGAGTTTTCAGGAAATCACAACGGAGCTCCGCTCAACTCTCAAAATGCAGTTCAATCAATTGGATAACTTACAGCAGAACATTGATGTAATGTATGAGAAACAGATTCGACTGGAAGCCATGATTCGGAATCTTGCAAGAGGATTGAATGTTGGAATAGAGGTCGAAGAAACTGATTATTAATTTTGATACAGAACCTAGATCTGTATAATGTATTTTTGTTGTTTTTTTTCTGGTTTTCATGTTGTGATGCCTTGTTTTTGTTCCCGGCTAAATGAAACTTTTTTCTCTGAATTGAATTCGTATTAGGTAAACTATGATTCAATATACAATAATAGTCTTCTTCATCTTCCTCGCAATTTCAAGTTCTTCTCCAGTCATCAAGTTTTGTATATTTGCCAGAAGAAGAACGTATAATATGTAATGCTTCTGCTGTCATTCATCCGTAATAGCCGTTAACTGCAATTGAAGACAGATCGTCGCCTCGTAAACGGTCTTGAAACGGTTTTCGGGATAATGCAAAAAAGGAGGAGAAAGGAGAATAAAAAAGACAAAATCAATCCATAGAAGAGAGATAGTATCCCTTCGAAAGTCATTCACTTCTTCTTCTTCTTCTCAAGTACTGTATTCAGACAAAAGTGGTCTTGACGGGGGGAAGGAGAAGGAGAAGAAGAGGCACAATATCAATCATCAGTGAATATGAAAGTGTGTCGAATGAAAGTTGATCGAAATTTCCTCTTATTTTCTATTTTATCGTTTTCAGTTTTTGCTAGTAAGTTTATTTGGTTTTTCATTTATTAACAGAATAACCCCAAACCGTCAACTTTGAGCCCATATACCGTATTTCCTTTAATAGAAGCCCACCTCTATTTGGAGCACACCTCTAATAGAAGCCCACCCCGCGAGGTGCTTTGAAAAATAGAAACTCACCCTCTAATTGAAGCCCGCCCCTAGATAAATTGGCTCAAAATTAAAAGTTAGGATTGGCGTTCTATTAGAGTGTTTACGGTAAGCAAACATCAATACCAAGACTGACTCAAGTATCAGATGTTTATTGAAGGAATTATTTAAAATTGTTCATAATTTATTTCAAAATTCTAGAGCAAAAAGAAGCAAATGTTGGGATACTCTCCCCATACGGAGAATGTTTCGAAGGATTCACACCCACTTTTATCAGACGTGTTGGTACAAGGCACATAGATGGTCCAGCGTTTGTTGCTAAGGTTTTAAATTTTAACTAACCGAGAATATTTAATACAGACTTTTTCAGATTGACATGGTTACTTGCTCCTCGCATTGTCGTGCCAACTTTGATCCTTCATCTGAAGAGTCGTTTCCATGTGAAGGATTCAACTTCCGTGCCGGTCGAAATCCAGTTTGTGAGTTCTTCCCAGCAACTGGAAACAATGTGAGTACTGTGATCTGATTCCACACAATTTCCGATAACTTTTAGGATAATGTGACAAGCTCCCTGAAAACTGAAGAGGCTCCTACATTTTACTTTGAGAAATTGTGCTTGCAAATAGCAAAACGATGTGAAGAGTCTGCGTATATGTTTGATGTAAAAAATGGATACAGAATTGATGAAACTCCGATTCGTATAATAAATGCTACTGTTGAAACACAGTGTATGGAAGAATGTGTTAAGATTCAATGCATGTCGTTTGGATTTCACCATGATGCAAAGTAGGATTAACCATTTTCGGATGGAATATAGTTTGTTTCAGACGCTGTTCATTTTACAATTCCACACGAAGAGATGCAGTTATCATTCGAGATGTTAAGATGGACTACTACGAGAACAACTGCGTACACCGTATATTTTCATGAAAACTTTAAAAAAAAGTTTTTATCCAATTGACTATAATTTTTCAGCCACTGCTCGATGTCCAAACGGAAGGATCGAGTTCTTTGCCACTCGGAAAGCTGATGTTCCTTCGTTTGGAATTTCATTGGGAGTCAAAAGCATCAGAAGCTGTATGCAAGCATGTGTGAATGCTGGTCAATTTTACTGCAGAAGTGTTCAGGTACAAAAAATTTTCTACTCAATAGTAAGATATTCTGATTCCAGTTCGATTCTACATCAAACGAATGCTTTGTTTCTGACGAGACCTCCGATGTGGCAGTTCCATCAACAACTCTTGACATCTTTGAACCCTTTTGTGTTCTTCGAAGAGACGAAAACACTTGTAATCGGCCGTATTCTTTCGAGAAGATGATTACATCAAAGCTTGCCAATTCCAGTGTTATCAAAGAAATTCCAAGTAGAAATCATTCTCTAAAACATTAAAATTCATTGTTATTTTTATAGACCAGTCAACAGAAAAATGTCTACAAAAATGCATTGGCTTGGAGAACTGCAAATCTGTGAACTACGATGTTCTCACCCGATCCTGCATCTTATCTTCCACTTCTAAAACAGACAGTGCTACCATAAGTGATGAGAACTTTGATTTTTACGATAGATCGTGTCCACATGTTGCACCATCCGCTATTTTATCATCGACATTTATTCCACATCATCCAAGATTTCATCCAGAAGCCACGTCATACAAAATGCTGGAAAGAGGATCACAACTTTCCGGAAGCTTCGTAAATAAAACAGATGTAGAAAATGTTCAAGACTGCTGGTAAGAAATAAGAATATTCAACTACAAAAGAAAATTTCTAGGACACTCTGTCTAAATGCAAAAGTCCATTGTGAAATCATTTCATTTTCTTCCGTATCCAATCAATGCTTACTTTCCACTCTCAAGGTATCTGATATCGGCGCTGATAAGAAAAAGATCACGAAAGCCTCTGAATCCTTCGACACATATTCTAAAAGCGTTGTTTTTCCAACTACAACACATACATCTATCATGAAGCCCACCACATCGACACGGATTTCGACGTCAACAACGCCGACGACTACAAAAGGGACCACAAAAACTTCAACTGTATCCAAAACCACAAAATCTTTCACCAGTAGTGAATCCCTCGAAGATCTTAACGATATCTTCGATTTAAACGAAAATTTTATGGACACAACGACTGTGAATATCCCAACAACAAGTAAATTTTCACACTGAACTTGTTAATTCTCAATTGAATGTTTCCAGGATCCAGAGCCCATGCAATCACAAATACGGAGACAAAATCCAAGAATAAAAGCTCCGAAAGCACATCACTTCTTCCCATTGATCCAGAATTAGTCGGCCTAGAAGACTCTACACCAGTTAAACTTCCAACATCTTCTGGAATTGCTCATGTGGATGTTTCTAAGCTATCAGTCGCGGCTATATGCCTCCCCCAAGGAATTAATATCACATTTGACTTATCTGAAATGGTGAAATCTTCCAAAATCTTTTAAAATATATGAATTCCAGTTTCAGAAGTACACCGGCGTCGTCTACGCATCTGAAAGATTCGATCAGTGTCGTGTATTCGTAAAAAACTCCACATCATTTTCAATATTCATTCCGAGACCTCAACACAATTCATGGTGCAATGCAGTTGAATTAGTGAGGCTGAAAATAGAAACTAATTCCAATTTTCTGATTCAGAACAATGAAATGTCAACGATCATAATCATGTCAAATGACCGAATTCTTCCTCATGATGTTACTACAAAAGATGATTTATTCTATCAAGTTTCCTGTAAATACAATCCAAATGACGATGCTAGAGTGAGCAAAGGAATCGTAGTTGGGTGAGGTTCTTCTTATGATTTTCCAGTAAAATCGAGTATTTTCAGTGGACCATCACCAGTTCTCATCACCAAGAAAAGTCAAATTCATGAGAAAATTTCACTGGAAATAACTAAAGATGGCCAAATGGTAGATAGCGTTTTTGTCGGGGAAGCATTAGTGGCCACTGTGCAATCAAATGTATCAGCTGCTTTGCTTCGAATCGTTGATTGTACAGCACATCGTGTTGGCGGGAACGGTCCTCCAGCTTCTGTGAATTTAATCGCAGATGGCTGTGCTCTTCTTCCAGCTATCATGTCTCCAATGAGATTGACACCTTCTGGATGGCAATCGTCTCTTTCAGCATTCCGAATCGATGGGTCAGAACAGATCGATGTCGTCTTTATAATTTCGATTTGTGACGAAAAGAAAAATTGTCCACCGGTGAGTCATTTTTTCGGAGAATGAGGTTAAATAACAAGCTAATCTGTGTCTTAGATGGCATGTACTTCTCCGAATAATCGAGAGATACGTTCAACTTCCGAAGAAAACTCGATAAGAGTGGATCGTCGATTGCTGGTCAAGGGGGATAAGAACTATGCGGGATCGCAGAAATTTTTTGCACGTGGGTTCCTAACTAGGTTATCTACATCTGGGTGAAAAGTCTTGCATTCTTCAGCAATTTGCATCGAATCTTCGTTCTATCTCCCAGCAGTCATCATCTTCTTCTGTAGCCTGTCCTCGATTATGGTTTCAATTTTCTTGGCATTCAGAAGGAGGAGGTTGAGGGATGCTCAAGTGGAAGAGCTCTTGTGAGTATCTATTTGAATATATTCTGAATTATGAGAATAATTTCAGAAGCACTTCAATCCCTCAAGACATTGGACCGAAGTATATCAAGACTATGTCAATGTAAAATAGTTCAATGATGCGAAGAAAAGGGCACAAGAATATGTATAAATCCATGTATTCATATATTTATTATATGTAGATTTTTTCTATTAAATAAAAAGTAAACACAACAATACCAATCATTTTTGTGTCACCATCACTACCACCTCTTCCATCCTCTCATCATCACCACCAATCCTTTTTTTCAACCGTCTTTTCTCCATCTCCTCCTTGTACGGCATCATCCCGAAAAGTTTTTGTTGCGTGTCAAGGCCGACTCATCTCGATCGGTTGCGTGCGCACAGACTGTCCAGTCCAGACCGCCCACTACTTTTCCTTATCCCTGTGTTCTATCTATTCTCTCTATTTCTCTCTTTTCATCTCCTAGCACACTGAACCAATTACCTCTATTTCCATGTCCGAGGGAATGGATGGCCAATTAAGCCCACCGAAAGGATAACCACGAAGTTTCTCTTTCTATCAAAAACTTTACCTTTTAGCTGCGAGTTTCTTTGATTCGAGAGTGGTGACCCAGTTGTCACTATCACCTATTTGTTTCTATTTCTGTAGCGACTAGATCACCTATTTTCTGATTCTATGAACAACTTTGCAACACTTCTTCAGAAAAATATTCTTACCGTACCATTCTATGAAATTTAACAGGATGTTTAGCATTCCATTTCTGTTGACATAAAGCTTTGATTAGCTGTTTCAAATTGATCTGCAGCAATTTATTTTTCTTTTTAAATATCAAGTATGACTGTATATGCACTATTTTAAAAGATTCCCCAAAAGTAGTCGGCAATTCAAAAAAAACAAAATAGATTTAAACCAATCTTTATTCTTGATAATGTGGCGCACAAATTGGATCAGATGTTCAACATTTTCAAGCTTCTTTAAATGCGGATTTCAAAAACTTTATAAGTTAAAGTAGCTTCATCCCGAAAATTTCCAGCGTCACTCCATTTTTCAAAGCACCTCAACTTACCGTATTTTCTCTAATAGAAGCCCACTCAAACCGTCAACTTGGAGCTCAATTATCTCAATTCCTCTAAAAGGTTACAAAAACTTATTATATTTGTGAAACTGTGATAAATGATTTATCAGTTGACAAATTTTTGATGTCTCTCCAGGTATCGAGATAATTGAGCTCAATGTTGACGGTTTGGGTGAGCTTCTCCGGAAAAAAAAATCCGAAAAAATTTATTGAGTAGAACAAATTCTTTCCAGATTAAGAAATTTTCTAAAACTGAAAAGTCTAGAAAGCTGTCTCATTTCTATCTCCTAAACCTTATTTCTCTGAATCGCTACCTTTTCTCACAGTTTCTTCCTTCCAATTGAAATTGGTTCTTATTTAGTTCGAAACCGTTTTACGTTTACATTTAGATAACTTGAACCATTAAACTGTACTAAAGTCATTTCGCACCTTTTATTTTCTTCGAAAAATGACGTTTTCGTTTACTTAACCATGTCTTTTTGTGTCTTCTCCAACAGTTTAGCCTTTTGAATCCCTTGATCTGACCTCCTCCTCCTTCTCCGGTAGACGATACGAAAAGAAAAAGAAGAAAGCAATCGGTTTTGGTCATTTCTATCGTTTCATTCCCTGTTTTGTGACATAATCTTTTTCTCGGACTCTTCTCTCCCCTCAAATCGCTCCCACAAAGCCTTTTCCATTTACAAAACATACAACAATTCACAAGGTCATTCTTCATCCTTTTCTTGACACTCCATTTCGTTCTTTTTTCAATCTGAAACCATTCAATCCGAGGAATGTGGTCATCGTGAATCCATAGTCATTTCGCATGGATAGCCATGTTTGCAAAAAGTGAAAAGCAATGAGGTCGATGCGCACCGGTTTTCCGTTTTTGGTTAAATAGACATCCCCATTCGGTTGAAAGTAACTGGATGCCATAGAACGGTCAGCTGAATAGGGGTTATCCACGAATCATTGCAAAAAGTATATGCTTTCAAAATGAACAATAAGATGAGAAAGTGTCAAAATTCTGTTTCTACACACAGTACACTGAGACGTTTCGCAATTAAAACGCTTCGCAAGATTTAACAAATTCCATGGTTTTAATATGATATTCCGATGTTCACCATATTCCGATGTTCACCAATGTTTTTTTGAAAATGTTTTTAGATCCTAAAATTTTAAGATTCTGACGTTCAAAATCATCCAACATTTTACTTCATCTTCCTTTCTGCCAATAACTTTGAAATATCTTGAGAACTTCGGCTCTATCCGGGAAAAACGGTCTCAAAACGGGACCGGCGGTCCCATCATCGGACCACCGATCCCAAGAATTGCGACAACGGTCTCATTGTTCCGAGAACGGTCCCAACGTTCCGACAACGGTCCTAAGGGTATGAAAATTGTCCCAACCAGGCCAGTACTTTTTGACAGGAATTTTTCACAAAGTATCACGTTTTCTTGTATTTGTAGGCTTACTATTAGGCCAAAACGCCTTTTCCGGCACTGTTGTGAACAAGGCGTTTCAGCTTAAGCCTATAATAATACACCAAATATACTCTGAAAAATTCCAGTAAAAAAGTACTGGTGTTCTCAATCATCAGCAAACTGTTCGTTTTTGTTGCTGAAATGTGTCTCTTAGTTGAAACAAAAATTACAATTTCCGTGGTTTAAATAGGATTTCCAGATTAAGCCTGGTTGGGACCGTTGTCATACCCTTGGGACCGTTGTCGGAACGTTGGGGACCGTTCTCGAGAAATTGGGACCGTTATCGGAACAATGGAACAGTTGTCGCAATTCGTTGGGACCGGCGTTCCGATAATGGGACCGACGGTCCCGAATTGGACCGTTCTTCCCGGAAAGAGCCAAAGCTTCTTTTTTTCTATCGAAATATTTCCTTTTCCCTTTCCGATGGTCTTTTTACTTCAACATGTTTATCTAAGTAACCATTTATTCGTGCTACGAATCGAGAGTTCTTCTTCCGCTTCCACCCTCGTTTTCCATCTAAATGACCCGAAAACAGTCTTTTCCATAATCTCCCCAGTTTTGTTCCGTATCCTTCTTCCCGAACTTGTCTATTTCTAATTCTCGCTTCGTTTTTAGTAAATGCGACATCCGCTGGTGCCCCTGTTACTGCTAATAGCATTCATCACCGCAGTTTCTCAAGGTAACCTTTTTAATCCAAACAATTCCTAATTAATACTTTAGCCTTCGTACCCAAATGTAACTCCTTCTATGTTCGATGGCCTCGTGTTCGTCTTAATTTCAAAGCAGTTGCCGAGGCAAGACTCTCGTTGAAGGGATGTCAATCGGCGTGTTCATTGGGAGAAGACCCAGTTAGTCCAGGAAAACAGTTAGAGTGTGCAGCAGTGAATCATCAAGCATCACCCGATGGTTTCTCCCATCATTGCGACGTTTCCAACCGCATCAACTGCAAAATGTTGACGGATACGTCGAGGCTGATGATCGATTCACATTCTACTGGAAATACTGTCTTTCATGTGAGTTGTCCTTATCAGAACACATTTTCCAAAAGAAAATTTTTTGCAGCCACTCGAAAATGTTCCGGAGACTATGCATTCACCTACCTCTCCGACCGTTATATGGATCAAAAATCCGTTGTTAAGACGACAACAAAAGCTAATCTAGAAGACTGTCTTTCCGATTGTTTGGATGAAAAATCTTTTGAGTGTCGATCCATTTCATTCAATAGAACTGACGGTGGATGTCATATGTCTAAGGATTCGCAAATCTCTCGACCAGAAGCTATTCGCTTGAACAATAACCCCAACTATCGTATTGACTATTACGAGAACAACTGTTACAATTGTAAGTGTCCTTTAAGAATCAATTTATCCAGAAACTCATTGATTACAGTATCCGAATCGTTCACTTTCAAACATGAATGCAAGGAAAATGGAATCTCAGTTAGTGTGAAATCTCGTCTTCCATATACTGGAGCTTTATACGGACTTTATGATTTCTTCACTTGCCGAGTGGAACCAAAAGAATCCACAGAGTTTGATCACTTTTTCCCATATCAAACTGTTAGCAAAAACTGTTCAGATTCTATTAAATATAAGGTTAGTGTTGCTTTGATTTTTAAATTTATCAAGAAAGTATACGATTTAGGGTAACGAAATGGTTTTGGAAGTGGTACTATCAACAGATGGCATTGAACCTCTTTATTTTATCACTCCTGATGACTTGACTTATCAAGCAAGGTGTCCAATCAATGGAGTAAAGGCTAAAGATGCTCCAAACACCAAATCATCAGCTCACTTGGATAATAGGTTTGTCAATTTTTCTCCTCCTTGATTCTAACATTTAATTTGATTCCCTGATAAGTTTGATTATCTGTTCTTTGCGTTTAGAAACAAGGCGATGGAAGCATCGGCGCATGCATTGTTTGAGTTATTATCCAAAACTGGAGATGACGATGCAGCCACCACTTCGAGTATTCAGAATACTTTCTCTCTGCCATTGACGACTACAACAGAATTATCAAGGCAAGTGACCAAGACAACAACAACTACAAAGAAGCCATCAACTACCACAACCACAACCCCAAAACCAACAACTACCAAAAAGTCGACAACTCCTTCCACCACAATCAAACCTTCCCCAGTTGTTGCCACGACTACCCCTACTACAACAACTCAAAAAACCACAAAAACTACCACCACGATTCCCCCAACAATTCCCCCAACAACTACAACAACAACGACTAAAAAACCATCAACAACTACATCTAGCACTCGTCGTTCCACTATCATGTCAGCTACACCAAAAGTTGCAATCATTGTGACAAAAGAATCGAGTTTTGCGAGAGCCAGACTGTTCACTACAAAACATCCAAGTACACAGAAAATGCAAGTTATACTACTGTTTTTTGTTTCATGTCTGATTTAATGTGATTTTTGGTTACTCCTTGACTGGATTTGTGTTTTTCTACCAAACAAACATTTAACTTTTAGTTATTTTCTGGTACAATAAAATCGGAGCTGTGGAAGAGAGAATCTGGTAGCCGCGAGCTTTTCAACACAAACTTTTCTCTTCCGCAGATCCGATTTTTCTAATCAAGTATAATACCGGAAAACCTGTAATAGAAGGGCCCTCTAACTTTCAATTTTGAGCCAATTTATCTCGGTTCCTTTGAAAGATTTCAAATAGTGGTCAACTGATAAAATGTTTTTGATATTATGATAAACATTTTATTAGTTGACACATTTTTGATATCTGTCACAGGAATCGAGATAAATTTGTTCAAAGTTTGCAGTGTGGGGGCCCTTCTATTACAGGTTTTACGGTAACTTTAAGCTACCGTATTTTCTCTAATAGACGCCCACCCAAAGCGTCAACTTTGAGCTCAATTATCTCGATTCCTGTGACAGATATCAAAAATTTGTCAACTGCCAAATTTTTTATCATAATATCATCCATATTTTATCAGTTAACACATTTTTGATGTCTTTCACAGGAAACGAGATAAATGAGCTCAAAATTAATTGTTTGGGTGTACTTCTATAAGAGGAAATGCAGTAACTATGGTTCCTGTCAGAGATTTGAAAGGTTGTCAACTGATAAATTTTACGGCATAATACCACAAAATGTTTACCAGTTGACACGTTTTTTGATATCTTCCATAGGAGCCAAGAAAAATCAACTGAAACTTGAGTGTGGCCCGTTTAGTACAGGTTTTACGGTATGTACAATTTTAACTCTTACAATCATTCACTTTCAGCGATGAGCCAACCACCACTCTCTCAACAACCACAGCTACAACTACTACAACAGTTAAACCTACAACGAAGACAACAACTACTACTACAACTACTACAACTCCAAGCACAACGACAGTAACCACACCGGTCACGACGACAAGCACGACCACTACACCTACTCCTCCACCAACTACGACTACAACAACACCTAAAACAACTACAACTCTTAGATCTACGTCTACAACAACTACTGTCGGACCTCCAGCTTCTTCTTCTTCTTCTTCTTCTGTAGCCAAGGACGGGTGAGAGCCTTGCACCATTACACAGAAAAGACCTAATGAATTCAGATCAACTCTCGCCGGAAAACCAAAAGTTCCAGTGATTTTCGACATTTTCCACAATGGACAAGCTGTTGAAGCTGTCGTAGTTGGAACAAAGATCACTCTCTCATTCCGTCCACATTATCCGATTCCTCCAGAATACGTGTCAGTTCGAGGATGCCAAGTGGAGCCGATTGATCCGAAATACGAATGGGAGCACGAACCACTATTCATTATCCGAGATGGGTGTCCGGCTGATGGTGTTGGTCTCGTTTGTCCACCAACACATTCAGAGTTTGGAGCGAAGGTTTCAGTTGAAGCATTCAGATACCAAACAACTGGATTAGTTCAGTACTCTTGTCTCGTGCGAATTTGTCCATTCGCTTCATGTCCGAAGGTAGGTTATCGATATTATTCTGGCACAAAAAACATTAGAGCTGTGGAAGAGAAACACCGGTGTCCGTGATCGAAGGTCCCACAGCGAAAGCTACCGTAATCGAAAAATATGTTGATTTTCCTGATGCATTAACTCAATTATCGTGAGTTTTCAGTCAATTGTTTTCACGCGAGGAAAATAGACGACAAACCTATAAAAAGCAGTAAAAAAGATAATAAATACAGAAATCAAACATTTTTTAAGTTACGGTAGTTTTCGTTGTGGGACCTTCGGCTTATTTGTACCAGAACAATAATAGTATTCAATATTTCCTTACACACTTTGTTTCAGAGCAACTGCGATGACGTGGAAGGATGTGACAGCAGCTACATGCATAGATACAGAAGAGAATTGTCTCTTGAAGACATCAAAAAAGCATTAGAAGCAAATCCAGAACTAGCTTCTCAGTTTGGAATCTCGCCTTCTGCGTTTGCAAGAAACCCATCGAAAACTCGAAACTTCACAAGTGTAGTTGGTATGTTCAACTATTTATTTTGTCTTTTATTCAGATCTTTATTTCAGAAGAGCAGCAGAGAATTGCACTCGGAGGAGATCATGTCGTCCGACGACGCTTGATCGTTGTTAATTCAGAAGACCAGTTGAGGTATTATGTGAGAACTGGAAACATTTGAATCACAATTTGACAGTATTTTTATCAGCTTTATATTCTTCATCATCCTTTGTTTTCTTTCATTCCACCATCCAAAACGCCACAAGAGCGGGTCTCTCTCATCAGAATTTCTTGAAAATGCAAATCTCTCTGTAGAAAATCTTTAATAAAAGCAACAATTTTTTATCGTGTTATATTACAGCGAATCGTATAATGTATAATTATTGGGAGAAAACAAGAACAATCGAGCACATTTCTTGGTTAAAACAATACGTTTTCAATAAAAACTATGTGACTAAAAAATACAATTAATACTAGTACTAACGATGCATATATGGTGGTCTGTAGATTGGGTTCGCGTTGTTCTGAAAAAAACTGAGAATAAAACTGACAAACTATAGAAACATACATCATGAAGCATCAAAGTAGTGTTCGATGTTTCGTTGAGGGTATCATGGTTTTCATCAGTTTCTTCTTCTTCTGCATTAATTGTTCGGTATTGAGAATCTTCAAAGAAACGCCGATTGTTTGGATATGACGCTTCAGCTGCTGGTGGGCTGTGAGGAGGACTTGGACGAGGTGTAGATGTTGCCACCGGCCGACCAGGGTATGTACGGAAAGAACTTTCTGAAAGTGTGCGACTGCGAACTGATGGAGCAACCGCCGGCTGGAGACTCTGTTGGACAGCGACTTCATGGCGAGAATTGAATTTGTAGTACTGAAAATTTGAATCGTCTTTCACGATTTATAGGGTAATTTTGATAATTCAGAAAATACCAAAAAATCGGGCTCTGTAGCGGATTGTTTGGTCTCTCGGTCGTACCACTTCTCATACTTCTCTCCATTCTCGCCAATACATGTTAGAAGAATGATAGTTTGACTCCGATGATTTTCAAGCTCGACAACACTGCTGAATTCGTGTGTGTTTTCTGATGCTCCGGTGGGTGCAGCAAGAGAAGGACGTTGGTCATGCAGCGATTCTGCATGGAACTGTTCAACGTAATAGTGACGCTGTGATCGATTCGATTTCGAAAGCGACAACCCGAATGTCCTCATAGTTACATCGTTAACTGGATCGTCTTCTCTCGGGTTTTCCAACAATGAGTGTGCCGCCATTCTTCTCTGACCGCCGAAAACTCCTTGTTGCTCGAGCTTAGCATCAAACTCTTCGGCGTCCTTTTTTAACTTTTCAAGCTGCAAATTTTTACTCAACTGTTTAGGATTGGAGTTAGGGTGACCAACCCATTCATTCATCTGGAAACTATGTACTTTTCCATGTTCGCCAGGCATAATCTTCATAAGCTCCCACATTGCATCGCGTTCATAAACATGGTTGGTGGCATCACGGATAATAGAGCGATGACTGAAGTTGCATGCACCGTTATCTTTAGCGCGGAACTCAAATACGCCCATGTATATCTGATCCGGGGAAAGGTTTTTGAATGCTCGATTGTTATTGCAGACCTGAAAAATTTCAACACATTGGAATAATCATAAAACCCTTACAAAGCCTTGACCAATATCAAGTAGAAGGAGTTTTTTATAAGTTCCATTTGAGTTTCTCGTCTCTCTATTTTGAATGAACTCCGGGCACACAACAAATGGACACTTAATTTTGACAAATCCAAATTCAACGTTTGTTGGTGGAATTTTGTATTTAGCGTAGTCATTTGGATTAATTTTCCGAAGGTTTGTCAGCTCCCGCTCGTCTCTTTCTTCCTCATGAGAGCCAACAGCGTAAGAAGGCACCGCTAGAAACCAATCGCCTTGCTTGTAGGCGTTCCAGTGCCATTTTGGCATAACCATGTAGCCATCTGAAATTCAAAGGATATCAATCGATTAAAATCTATTGAGCTCACCACGAATTCTGATAGATGGACTGTATGCATAAATTTCGCTTTGTCTCATCGAGGTTCTCGTTTCGTCGCCTGTTTTTTCGACAACACAACAGACAATGTCTTCATTAGACCTCTTCTTTGCCGGCGGATATAAATATCCATTGGGTCTCATTTGGCTGAAATTAAATAATTGTTAATCCGAAAGCAAAAAAAAAAATATGAGCCAGGTGAGCGACATGTTTGCAAACATGACTGAGAAAAATAATTTTGAAAATGGGTTTGAAAATATTTTTCGACGAGGTACGGTACGCGTGCCGAGACCCATGGGCGATTTAAAGCAATGTTGCTTTCAGTTTGAAGAAATCCGATGTAAAATTAGAAGAAGAAAACACTTTTTGTCATACTTGTAAATATCCGGGCCCGGGCCGGGCCTGAGGAAATTTTCAAGACCCGGTAGCAAAAATTTTGTCCTTTTGAGCCAAATTTTGAGCTCTCAATACAATTTTCCCAATTTTTTTGTTTTATTGGATTGTTTGTCTGTTTGATCAAAAAAAATCACATGAGGGTCCCCCCCCCCCCTTATGTGTTTTTAAAAATTTTCAAAACTTGTGGAATGGCAGGCCCGCCGGGCCGGGCCTCCAAAATTCGGGAAAAAGCCCGGCCCGGCCCGTTAAAAGTAAGCTTTTTGTGTATTTTTCACATCCCAGACTCACACAAAAATCTCGCTCATCGATACTAATTATGAATGCTACAAAAGCAACATCTTCCGAAAGAAAAATCTTATTGAGATCGAGTTCTCTTGCCTCCAAAAAGCTATCGAAATCTAAAATCTTCATTTGACTGAAAAAATGCGGAGAAGAGGAATATTCACGATACACACCGATCCGGACAGATGTTTTTAGTATGCAAAAAATTATATCCATTCGCGAAGAATTAGGACGATGTGTTTTATTCTTGTTCATTTTCCTTCGTTCTCTCCCTCGAACATCTCGTAGTTGAAGTTATCTTACTGTAGAATCACATTTCTCGTTGACCAGTTTCTTATTTACATCGCACTACTAGCATCATTACTTCGACTACTATTCTCAGACGTCTCATACTAAAAATATAATGACCAGCCTGAAAAATAATACAGCAATTGCGTCAGCAGTAAGGTTCGCCGAATTCGTCGCGGCTCCGAATTATGCTTTCCCTTCAAAACCAAGAACCAGATATGTTTACTTGAGACTTCTCGGTACAATGTTAAGCAAAAGCAACCGGTACTCAATAAATCGCAAAAGTCAGAACATAACATTTTACGAAAGCTTCTAACTTTTATAAAAGTTTCTGCCCTTTTTAAAAGAAGAAGTTAAAACACAATTTTCTATGTTTTGATGGGCAGCCTCCAACCATCCTATTTAGTTTCAAAATTAACTTCAAAAGCTTCGGCTCTAGCTTTGGTACGAAATTTTTGGAACTTCTGGTGATCTCCCTCATACAACCTGATAGCATTTATAAAAAAGTTTACAGAAAAATACAAGGAACTCCAATTTGTGAGTCTGACTCTAACTTTTCAGTTTTTGTTCCATCGCGCTCATTAAAAAAATAATTGCTGTCTTTGGTGATAAAATATTCATGAACGAATCATGATTTTCTGTAGTTATGAGCTCGAATAATTCTTGTTTATATTTTAAGCTCTAGATATGTCCCTGGCAATTTTAGGGGAACTTAGCTATCGTATTTTCAGCACAAAAATAAATCCAAATCGCTTTAACTTGATTAAAACCCTTTAGAAACACATTATCACAATGTGACTATCGTACTCTCCCTATTCAAATTTTGTTTTTCTCTGTGTCCAACATATGAACCGTTATCCATCTCGATTGGCGTCTCTGTTATCTGAAACGGGACGGAATTCATCTCTCCACTCATAGATCCACACCACTTTTTGTCCCCATCCCTCGTCATTCTCCGTAGAAGTATTTTGTGAAGATTTCCGCCGCTGATAGGTAACTAAGTTTTAAGATCAGTAGCGATAATGTGGATCTCTGTCTCAATTCTCATGTTCAACATGCTAAAAAAGGTCTGAGTAAGCATATAGTTTGAATTTTCTAATCCGTTTCGGTGGGTGTATCCTTTTGGAGCATTGAATAACGCGGATTAGCCAACCAATCGAGCAGAAGCAGGTGTATTTCTGATTTTGGTTTAGTCTGAAAATGATAATCTTGCACGGGTTGTAATGCAAACATGATTAGGGATTTGTTGACGAAGAAAAAACAGAAAAGTGATCGAACAGAGAGTTTAGTCTATTTCTGCAAAGCAAAGAGCACTGGGAGCACAAAAAATGTACTTGTTGATTCATAGTTTTATAAAAATTCTTGGAAAAAGAGACATTTGTAATCGTTTTGTTGATCGCTTCCTACCCGTATATAGGTTGGTTGAAATTTGTTTTGATTTACAACATTTTTAGTCTACCCTATTTCCTTTAATAGAAGTCCATCCAAACTTTGAGCTCTATTATGTGAAAGTTACCAAAAGTTTGTCAACTGATGAATTATTCATCATAAGACCACCAATATTTCATCAATTGACAAAACTTTGATATCATACACAGGAACCGAGATAATTGAGCGCAAAGTTGACGGTTTGGGTCGGCTTCTATTAGAGGAAATACGGTAATCATATGTAGCGCAAAACTCTGCTATTCGGTTATGAACAGCAAAACAATTTCACCTCCAAAATAACAGTGCTGGCCAAAAATTCTATTCCAAAATAGCCAATTTAGTATAAAATGGTCCACTTTGAGTGTCTGAAAACGTACTAATTACTTGTTCGTTTGGTCTGAAGCATTCAGGGATTTAAAACCTAATCTATTTATTTTCATAGTTTTTAACTTTTTATGCAATCACTTGTAAACGATTTATTTTGTGAAACAAGTTCCCCTTCTTTAAAAACAATTTCAGTGGTAATTTTGAAATAATTGAGGTGCTTTCTGTTTGACATGATGAAGAACAAAAATAGAGTTATACATTTGATTTACAATCCCGTAATTTTTCAGACCAAACAGACAAGAAACAAGTATTTTTTCAGACACCCAAAGTTGACTATTTTCACCTAAAATGTTCATTTTGAGAAACATTTTTGGCCATCATTTTATTCAGTGTCAGCCTTGGTTAGTGAAGAGATTCATAATGTTTAGAACGTCTTTCTTTCTTAGAGAAAGCAATCGGAGGTTTAAAATTATCTATTTTGATTCTTTGAACACTTCTAATGTAACTCGAAATACTGGAGTATTCTTCAAAGTGTCGTTTACTTGTTATCGGAGTACTAATCGAGGACAATCGACGTCGCAGACAATTCAAAGTCGGACAACAAGTAGCATAACACAACCCACAGAACACATCTTTCGAAATGTACAGCAGGAAAGGTCACATTATTTTTGAAATTCAGCTATTAACCGACAACCAACCTGTATGAGTTGTTATTTTTTAAATTAGTATTCCGAGAAAGATCAAAACGCCTTCTTTGATGGATCTGAACTACCGTAATCCAAGAGCGTCTACTTCATGGAAGTATGTTGATTTTTTGATATCGAGTTGTTCACGATGAAAACTGGTTTTTCGACCCCTATTGAAAAGTCATTTTTGTAAGCTTGAAACTAGACACTATTTTATTTTGAGCATTTTCTTACCTCACAAGACTATGGCATTATTCGATACATGACGTTCATCATCCCATGCAAATTGATCTGTCTAGATCTTCCTTGTACATATTGCAAAAACAAAGTGCAGTGACGTCTTTTTATTCTCCCACTATTTTCGGAATATCCCCTAGTTTATTGTTTAAGCTCAAAACTCAACTTTTGATCTCTCTCCTATGAACATGAACTGAATCAGAGTGATCTGTCGGATAAAATAACATCATCTGATTTTGAAGAAGATTTCAATTCAAGATCATCCACGGATGTGTTGGATTTATGATCTTCAAAGAGAGCTGATGAATATCATGAGGGGCATTAATCTCTAAATAGTGTCTACTCCAAAAGTCTTTGGTTTTAATCAGAAACTTTTTAACTTTTCCTTTTGAAATGTGGGTCTTCCCTTAATGCGTTGGTGGTCTTAACGAGATATGTACTTTTAATTTTTTCAATGTTTTCATATTTCTCATTCCGAAAAATCTTTTCTGGAGGAAATTTAATCCCCAAGAAAACAAGAATCCCAGTCCCAGACTGATTCTCATTTTGCACCACGCACAGAAAAAGGTGAAAAATAATAAATATAGAGTTGAGAAAAATCGTGTCTATGAGTCAAAACATTGGCAGGAGTTTGTTGCCCCGACTTGCGAGAATATGTTTTTTTGGTAAAGAAAACACAAGAAAATATTATATTCGTCTGCAGTTCTGCTGAATTAATCGAAACAGAAAATATTATACTAAAAACAGCTGGAAATCAGTCTACCTTTGCATTTCCAATTTTCTCGGAAACTAGTCTGGCACAAGTTCTAGTTTCGTTTTGTGATAGAATGTACTTCGGATTCTTTCGGCGAACTCTTTCGAAAAGTTCAGTTAGTCTTTTTTTTTAGTTTGGAACTTTATTATTCTGGTACAAAAACATCAGGAACAAAAAGCAGTGAAAAACAATAGAATAAATCTCGAAAATAAAAACATTTTCAGGTATCGATAGTTGTCGCTGTGGGAGATTCGGCCATGGCCACTGGTGTTTTTCTTCCACAGCTCCGATTCTTTGTACCCGAACAATAATAATCACTTAAAAGTTGCAGCAGGTGTACCCCCGTTAAAGATTAAACAAGACAGAAAATGTGTGGTTTTTAATCTCTATATTTGATTTGAGTGTACGACGACTGATGCTCATTCAACTAAAAAACAACATTTGCTTTCATACTAGTGATGTGTCGGTGTGCTTATCCAAACCAAAACGTGCTTGATCACTCCCCCGTTTTTTGAAAACAGGAGATCCCCTTCTTTCTCTCTTTGGAATACACATTTCTTGTATGTCTTCTTCCTAATCGAACCTTCTCATCTCCGCACAGAAAACCAAACCCCGCCCCTCACCATTCTCTACCATAATCTCAAAACATTTCGATCCAGAACAAAAAGCTTCTTTTCCTGCTTTTCCTCATTGCTTTAGAATTCCGTTATGTAGTCCATTTCGATTATTTCTCGTTCTTCATTTTCTAATTGTACCTTTTGGATACAACAAAAACAATAGTCAGGGAGTACAATAATCTTTCTGGTATGCTGTGATAACCTGTTAACGAGATTGGTCGCACCAGACTGTACTTTTTTTTGTACAGTTCTGTTTTCTGGAACAGTCTTTCGTCATGTGAATGATAGTACGAACTTTTTTGTTTACTAGAAAGAACACCGGGTGCCAGATAAAACGAATTCAATCACTCGAGAACGAGTCAGAACTCTTTTAGTATCACAAAGTCGTCATGAGACCTCTAAAAGGTTTCTACTAATAGGATTGTCTTAATCAGCTGTTTCAAAAATGATTCCAAGAAGCTATCAAAGCTCCAGTGGACTTTTTAAAATGATTCTGATCAAAAGATTGTATCAAAGAGATTGTGCATGATCATGAAGCAAATGTCTGCTCGATTGAGAGGTATTATGATAATCTGGAATTACAATAATGAGGTGGAACAAATCCTATATAAAATGAAAGGAGGTTCAAAAATTTGTCGCATTAGTCCATTTTTTAGATTTTTGCTTTTCTTTTTTCTCTAGTAATCTCGAACACTTCTGAAAATCAGTAGCTTTCCACGAAACCGTGTGAAAGTACGAGACAAGTTCTATAAGTGCTCGATCCGTATTTATCATTGTTGATTCTGTGTCTGTTCCAACAAATCCAGGATATTCATAACAACGGATTACGGTGGATTCTATGAAACATTACACAACTTCTTAAAGCATTCTTTAGTCGTTCGTCGTAACTTCTGATAAGTTGCTCAAAACAGAGAATACCAGGTGGCCTATATAAAAACGGAAACATCTTTAGAAATAAATATTTTAGAAGCATGAAAATTGGTAGAAAGGACTGAAAAAGAAGCTTATCTACTAGGTATTGTTCTAATTTCCCAAGATGAAGGGCCTAATGTAAATTTGAGACCCAATAGAACGCTGTACTCCAATTTTATGCTAGTACAAACTTTAGTCTAGGTGCCACTCTGTACAGAACGGTTGCTTGAATCGAAAGAAATGAAACATTCATAAAAGGAATCTAGATTTTTACTACTATATCTGCATGTTTCGACACCATCGATCTCATCAAAAATATATCTTTCGAAGATACTTTTATCACCCTTCAATCACGAGCTTCAGTATTATGAAAACAAGAACATGGAGTTTCGATATCTTGTGTTCCATACCCTTAAATATCTGAAACATCTATGGTGTCTGTATAATCTGATATCATTTAAGAGTACAACAACTTTGTATGTCATCGGTGTATAGTTTGTTTTCATGTGCACTTCTGCCTCTTTATAACCTGACAGTGTCGTTTCTCATTTATAGTTCACCGAAACAACGTTTGCTTCTTCTTCCCTTTGAATTCGTTGAATCAGTCAATTGATAAATCATTTTGGTCTCATTAAAACTACCGTACTCCTTATCTTTCCGATTTTGTTTTTGAAAGAAAGGCTTTTGAAAATGAATGCAAACTTCGTATTCTTGTCACCTACAGCTTGATAATGAATCAGTGCTGATGCTAGTATACAGTAGAATTTTTTTGTTTGCTGATGACGTGGTTATATGCTTCTTATTCTGCAATGGATTTTTTCAGTCCTCCCGCAAGATGGGAAAATTTAACCTCATAACACACGAGAAAACCGCATGATAAGCGATAACGAATCAGGAGTGAAAACAGGAACAACATGTTCTATATACGAATCACTGAATAATGCGTCGATTCTAAATTGTTCTGATTTGTGATAGGGCATTTCGATTGATATAACAGGTTGATAAACGATATCATTTTGGGTATCAAAGTACATAGAAATTTAATTTGGTTTTGCTGAAAAAAAAAATGGATAAGAATGGATCGACTGATCAGGAACAAGATTCAGAATTTAAAAACCAACCAATGTTTATAATTACAATTACGATTTAGGCAAACTCGATGAGTTGGTTTTTGTATTTTTGTATCTTCAAAAATCTAACATTAAAAAGAATTCTCTGGAACTTTCAATTTTCATTTTCTCCTGATCCGGATCTTGTCACAGCTTCTATTCTTCTAGCCTTCGGAAATGTGTCAGTATGTGTAGTTTTGTAATCAGATGACGTGGCAAGATCAGAGACTTCGTTCTTTTTTCTGCAATCAACTGTTCAATGTGCGCCTTGATTCGCAGTCTGATATCTCAAATTTTCTGTTTCTCTCCCAACTACAAATTGTTGGTTCCCAGGCTTGTGACGTCTACTTCTTTTCCCCTTATTAATCCCTCCCACACCGTTAGCCACGCCTTCTTTCTGTTCGCTCCTCCTCCCCGGTCTCCCGACACATCTTGTTCCGATGGCAACCGCCTGTAAAAACTTGCATAATTTTATTCCATTTTATCTTTACCGTCCACGCCGACCATTGAAACCACACAAGTTGTGGTGATAAGTGCTGACAGATATCTTTTCACTGCTTATCATCTCTTCTCTTACTCATTCTCTCCGTTTTCCTCCTCTCGCAGAATCATTCAGAGATCGGCGTTCTCGAAACCCTCTGATGACGTCATTGTTCCTTACAAGCCAAAGATTACAGTACTCCATTATTTTCTCATAGCCTCCATCGGTGCACCGCCCGTCGTCTCTAGTGTGTAATGATCAGCGGCCCGTTTATTCATTTTGATCCGACTGCTACGCTCCAGGCAGTCATGATGTAAGTTTCAGAGTTGTCTAATCTTTTTGAATGGTTTTCGACAATTTCTAAATTATTTTCAATTAAAAATTCACATTACGACGCTTCCGCTTGATCGAGTTTTAAAAATTCTTTAAATGAACATGGATGTTATATCTAACGTCCATCCACATCGAGAGTTCCTTTTTCTGAAATAAGAGATTCTCGGAATAAAAACCCCAGTTGCGAAAATGACACCTATAATGTAAACAATCTCTGAAATCCTGATGTATTTTCAGGAGACACCCGACTTCTCCTCTATCGATTCCTGGAACATCAACAAGCCCAAATGTAGTCTCGGCTTCCGACATTCATTGCCGAGTCTGCGAAAGGCAATACGATGGATCCCAACATTTCGGAATCGACGTAAGTTATCAAATGAGGAAATCAGGAAAGGCGAAGTGGGTGAGGGAGGGAGAGGCAAGAAAAGTGGTGCTGATGTCTAGATATTCATCTACCGTTTCTTGGAGAAACTTTTTGTTGTCGAACATTGTATCGGTAGATTAGCACACACCGATACAAAGTCCGCCCTCTGATGGAAAATGGGATCTGATTTGAATCTTACCCGAGCTCCCATTGGAATATCTTTTAGGTAAAAAAATATGCATATGGATAACCCATAATAAAATAGTGTCTGGGAATAGTTATGCGATAGAGAACTAGTACATTCAAATTAGTAATTTATCCGAAAATCGTTTAAGTGAACAGTCAAAGACGGGAATCTCTAGATATCGGAAACCCACATCCAGTTTTGATATACAAAGTCACATTTTTCCACTTTTTGTTCTGCAAAGACACAAAATGTATCCTTTTGTTCCGCTGGAGATTTTGAGCCGTATCATGATCTATCTGGAAACCGGTTCATTATTTTACAAAACGGAATTCTCTAGCGAATGAATCCGACGGCAGCTTTTTGTTCTTCGGGATAAAGATCGCTCTTAAAAATTGCGAATAATTAAAGACGAAGATTTATTTTAAATTTTTTCAAGTAGAAAATTTCAGATCTGCCGAGCATGTGCAGCATTCTTCCGACGAAGTGTATCGGTCAAGAAGACCTTCGTATGCAGAAGAGGAACAAACAGTTGCCCGTTGAATAGTAAGTATCACCTAGGCATAGATCAGTTACAAACAACCATGTTTTTAGCAGTCTCACGAAAGACCACATGTCAAAAATGTCGTTGGATGAGATGTCTTAATGTTGGTCTCCAAGTTGAACGTAAGATTTTATTTCAGTCCATTTTCTTCACTTCCTCCAAATATTCATTGTTCAAAAATGGCATCTAACACCAACCACACATTCTCTCCCCGCTTCGATCTAAATTCATTCATAAACTGGAAGTTGTTAACATTAATGAATCAGTGAATTAATGAATCAGTGATGCGCGTCTCGCGCGCGCTAGAAACAATCCAGCACGGACTGAGTTCATTGAAACAGACAAAGTGGCTAGAGGGAGACAGTGTCCTCCGTATCACTTAGGAGGGGATGTATGGTGCTGTAGCAATCATTCTGGTCTTTCCGAAGGACAAAACGCAGGGGTCGTTGAACGAATATGTTCATGGTGGCATCAGTGAAACAGAGACAGACTGATGAAAGGGGGAGGGAAACGAGATGTGATTGTTGGTCACAGTTTATGCCACTGTTTAAGGGGAATAGTAAACGAATGGAGGTCATGGGAATAACATGTGAAATACGGAAACTTTTTTCTCATTAAATAATTTTCAGTCGTATCCGGTCATCGATCACCTGACCATGTGAAGCAGCCATCAAGAGATGAGGAAAAATTCAAAATGGAAGAAGAATCTATAAGAGACGGAGACGAATCGGATTCGGGATCCGAGGGAAAACCATTCGATCGTATGGATCCAACACCACCTCATGAGCAAACATTCCAACACATTCCACTTCACCGTCCAATTCCAACAATGGCAAATCCGAATCTTCTTCTGACAAGAAATTCTCTTATCAGCAAAGTGCTTCGTAATTACGAGTGAGTACCGTAATCTCTCAGGCTGTGTAGCTTATGAAATATTTTCAGAGAGTTTACAAAAAATCGCCTCGAGTTGGAACTTTCGCTTCCACACATTCAACAAGAGCAGAAAATGTTTGGATCAACTGGTATTCCAATCGTCAAAGCAACACGAGAGACAGTTTTTGAAATTTATCAAAAACAACTCGAGCTCCTTCACATTTTCCTGAGAAGCACATTTTCCGAATATGAAGAGTGTGATGTGCCAGAACAGAAAAGAATCTGTGCTCTCTTCTATCCGGTTCTCTGGGAAATCGAGTCATGCTACTGGACATACCGAAACATGCCAGCCACTTCGGACTGCGAACACTTTTTAATGTGCACCCAAACCACGTACATTGATGTTCGCGATGTTGAATACTGGCTGGGAAACACCGATGGAAACAGTGCAGAGGATATTAACACCATCAAAACGTAAATATCCCCTTTTTTCGAATATTCTCATAATTCTATTTCCAGCCGTCTCGAACGTCTTCTCCAAACTGCCAGAACTTCGATTCTCGACAGAATGCATAAACTAATCATCAAGGAATTCGAGTTCGTTACCGTTCTAGCTCTTAACATCTGGGCTCCTCGTAATCATCAACAAAGCTGCTTAGACAAGGCAGCGGACCATGTCCGTACAACTTTGTTCGATGATCTGCATTACTTGTATCATGATGAATTGAGAATCGAAAACTATGCAGGAAGAATGGGAGAGATTATGTGTCTATTCACTGAAGTCCAGGTAAGAGTACTTCTAGCATCTTATCATTATCAAAAATTCATTTTCAGACTGCTGACTTGTCATCTACCATACAAAATATCTTCTTCTCTGAGCTCACTGCCTACATCAACGCTCAATGAAGCGTACTCATAACTACGGTTCTCAAACTTCTTTTCATTTCAAATAATCTCATTTTCTTCCGGCTTTCAACTGTATTTTTTTCTCAAACTCTCACTTCTTTTACTTATTTTCCCAACTGACTTTCCCCTTCTATTCGAGTTGCACCCGTGATCTTCAAACTTCCAGAATTTAGTCGTCTCCCCTCTTTCCTCCGAACCATTCCTGACCAATTCGTCCAACACATTCTTCCTCTCCTCTGATTACTTTACTCTTTTCGTACCTCCCTAATAAACATTTTTTATTGAAATTGATGTCTTCAGATCTCGTAGACCAACATGGTTTTTAATTCGAAACACAGACAAGATGACGTTTTTGTTCGAATGGAACATTTTGCATCACAAGTCATTTTCAGCAACACAACAAGGAATAATTGTTTGACTTGTAGTTGTGATCAACGATTTTTCAACGATTTCAAAAAGTTTTTGATGATGAAACTTTGAGTGCTAGTTCAGGAAACTTCTGAGGATCAATATTGCTAGTTCACAGGATAAAAAATGAATCTTGGATTACCGTAAACACCGCAATAGAAGGCCATCCTATATTTGCACTTTGACCTCAATTGGTGTTTACGGTAGTTTATATATAAAATACTTCAAATCCATTAATTCACGGTTCTGTGAAAACTGTGTAACAGTTGTTAATATGAGCTTAATTTTCTTCTCCTCCCGAATAGGCGAATTCTAAAATGTTGAAAAAAATGAAAAAATAAACTTGGCTCAGGGTCCACGGGTACATCGAAAAAGGGCACATTGGTCCAGAGAGTGCACGAGATCTTGTAGTATATGACTTTTTAGCCAAACCCTATAATTTTCAGAAAAAAAGAGGAATAGTTTTTTAAAATTATTTTTTCCTCCTCCCAAATGTACCACGTACCCTTGAAACCAATGTACCCTTAGAACTTGATGCACCCCTTTTTCGATGTGGTCTTTAATACTGGGCCAGCCAACATGTAGGTATTAAGTTGCAGCTGTAATTGTTTACATCATAAAAAAAAGAGATCTCTTGATTCAGGCGATGATCACTGGAATAATGAAACGGTTAGTGACATCCCAAGATTCTTATCGGATGTGTACCGTAGTCAGTGCCTATTTGCGACATGGGTACACATCCATGCGAAGAAGTAGACATTTGCCCTGGATAAATTATCTGATTCCTGATTCAACGGCTTTTAGAAACGCAACTACACTCTTGTCAATTTCAGATTAAAATTTACAGAATATGATACAAACTTTGTAATTGTTCTATCTTGTCTTACAGATTATTTAGTTGTCGGAACCAGCAGGCAAAAAAAAAACGAAAACCAAGAGAAAAGTTCTCAATTTAAGTTTCTCTGATTGTGGGCCGTTTTCTTTTCAAGTTATTCTATGATTTTACATGAGTAACAAAACTGACTTAAACCTGAATGAACTTAAAATTGAGCTTTAAAATCTGCTGTCTAGACATTTTATCCGTTCCCCATCTTCCGCCGGAGGAATTTAACAAAGAGTCGCTACAGAGAATTTTCGTAGTCAAGATGTTTATCTCAATGTTTTGTTGCGAGCACTTCTTTTTTAAAGGATTTTCTTCCAACAGAGACTTTCTGGGGTGAAAAACGTAGCTACAGAATTCGCGAGACTTGTCGACGTTACCAAATTTTCAGTTCAGATAACTTAAAAGAAACAACAGATCTTGGCGTTGTAATATTTGAGAATGAACGTAGGATAGTAACTGAAAAGTAAAAATAAAGCAAACATTTTTTTTGAATTTTTTTTTTGAATTGTTTGGTTTTTTTACCTTTAAGCGATAGTGACATTTTTTGAGAATGAACGTAGGATAAAAAAACAATAAAATTATTTAAAACTTCCAAGGTAAAAGCTCTAAAATGAACGACATCTGCTCTCTCACTTTTCAGATGAATTCAACCAATTGAAAAAAATGTGATAGGCTGTAGTATAACCATTTCAATTGTTGTTGAGCCTCGAGAAATCTGAAAGATTAAAATTTTCATACATATTATTCCGGAAACGTTAATATGCTATTTTTTTCATAAAAAAACCGAAAATCCGGGTTGGGGCACTTCTTGTTCTGGATCGAAACATGTAGTTGTCGATTGAAAACATTTCGTTTTTCGGAAGATTTAATCGTTTCTAACGTCTTCCCCGATTCAGATTCTAATTCTTTGTGCCCCACGAGTTATCTAGTTGTTCATCTTCAAGTGTGGAAATTTTTCGGAGTGCTGATTGAGCGCCATTAAGGATTGTCGGTTCTTTAGAAAAATCAAATTTTGATCACTTTCGTATGAAGGGATCTGATAAAACTTTTAAGATGTTTCACAAATCTATGTAAGAGGTTGATAATAATAGAAGTACCTGACAAGATGGAACTGATTTTTCTCGATTCCTGTGAAAAATATCAAATATTTGTCAACTGATAAAATGTTTGTGATATTATGATATTTATCAAGTGACAACTGTATCATATCTTTGACAAAAACCCAGATAAATTGGCTCAGAATGAAAAGTAAAGGGGAATTTTATTACAGGTTTTATGGTACTTTCATAAACTTAAGAAATATGAATTTGAAAAATAAAAATTTAAAGTGAATTTGCATCAAATATGATATTGGACCAATTTTTCCAGTCACTGAAGATTTCTGATTTAAGATTTTTGAACAAAATTCTTGACGTTGCTTGAAAAACTAAGCATTCGTTAAGCATTTCAGATTTCTCAAAACGATTTGATTTTTTGGTACTCGTTTCTTTTTTTCGGAAACATTCTTGTCTCGATGGACAATCTAAAAGAACCGTAGTACTTCCCGAATCCAACAGTCACGAAGTCTCCGTAGTAATGGAATATCATTCCGTCGGATCTCAGAGAGTTTTGTTCAAATCCCAGATGATCAGAAGATGAATATTCAAAAATTTTATTGTTCATTTAACATGAGGAAAACAAAACATCACCGGTAATTCAAGGAGAGCACTTTCACCTTAACTTTATGAACAGAAAATAGATTTCGGCCAACTCACTATCAGATAATTTTCAAGTTGGTATAGATTGCCAGTTGCTATTCAACTTGTTTTTGAAACTTTTGGCTCAAATAGTAGTTGTCCCGTTTTGAATTATTTTTTCCCTACATATTCAATGAAATTGTTATGATTGAGAATATTAATGCATCTGTATAATTGTCAAGTTTCTTCTACTTCTGAAAATCTGAAAACTAAAAATAGAGTCATTGATTTTTCAAAGAAATAGATACAATCTAAAGCTTCGAAAACACCATAAAAACCCGAAATACCGGTGTTGGCACTTCTCGTTCTGGATCGTAACATGTAGTGGTAGGTTGAAAACTTTTCGTTTTCAAGAAGATTCTAATTTTTTTCCACCGTCGTCTTCTTATCCCCTTCTTTTTTCTTCACGAATTATCTAGTTTTCAATCTCCGAGCGCGGAAAAATTTACAAAGGTAGAAGATCAAGGAGTAGAGCAAAAAAGACTCAAAGTACGAAAGCTCATCTCAGGGCATGTAGGAAAGTGTGATAAAGTAGAAAGATTTCAATATAATTCTGATATGAAAAAATCTGAACTGTAAAAAAGAAAATCTGGTGGTCGCTGAAAAACCAAATCGAGAATAAAAGACCGAAAATTTTAGGTTACGGTGGTTTTCTCTACGAGGACCGTTAGCTTTCCTCTTCCACAGCTCCAATTTTTTGTACCAGAATAATATTTGTTTGAAAAAAAATGAAAAAAACTCAAGAAAATATGTTTAAAACAATTCAACCAAAAAATGTTGAATGAAATTCAAAACAGAGCTCAGACAGGCGAATGTAAGAGAAATCAGAGTGATATTCGGTTACAATCAGAATGTTTGATCTTTCGGTATTTGTAAAACTGTTAAAAGACAGTGTAGTTTCGATAGATACCATCTAGAAGGTTGGGATACCGTATGAATAGTTGCGCAGCATTCTTCGTTGGCTATCGAGACATCGAATCAACAGTTTCAATGTTCGGACCCCAAATGATCAGAAGATCAACACATCTAAACACATAAACTTCCATTAATAAGGGAGTGGTGAAGAATAAGATAATTATTGAAGAATAAGACGTTTCAGAAACTGCTCCCTTTTACTCGATTAGTCCCTCTGGTGATTTCTTGATTTTTAACACTCTCTTCTGGGTTTTCAAATCTCCAGCGATCTTCTGCATTTTCAAATCTCAAACAATTTTCTGGGTTTCCAAACCTCAGGCGATTTTCTGGATTTTCAAATCTCGAACGATCTTCTGGATTTTCAAAGCTGAAACGTTCTTCTGAATTTCCAACTCTCAAACGATCTTCAGGATTTTCAAATCTCCAACGATTTTCTGGATTTTCAAATCTCATACTTTCATCGCCACTCTCGTCTCCCGATGAATCCATTTTTGCCCGAAATCCGATTTTCTAGTGAAAATTCAACCCAAGAAACAACAAAATTACCTGTAAACCTGTTAAATTCCGAAGAAAAAACATCGAAAAACCCTTTGAGAATTTTGAAAAACTCAAGAAAATAAGCGGGTGGTACCGGCGCGAAAAGGGGTACGGTCGCAGTCGCTTCGACTGTGCGAATTGGAAATCTTGGGAACCTGGGCGTCGCTTTGGACTGTTTTCACTTTGAGCCACTTTTTCTGGCCAAAAATTCGGGGGGTACAACGATTCGGGGGTACAAGGGGGTACAACTGATTTAGGGGTAGAAAATTAGTGATTCGGGGGTACAAAATGCCTGGGTAAATTTTATTTATCGTACCGCTGAGTTGAAATTTTTTATCTAAACGAAGCTGCAAATCATTTAGAGACAACGTTTCAATTCAGAAGTACAAAAAATACAACTTGATGAAAAACTTTGTACCCACGAATCAGTTGTACCCCCTTATACCCCCGAATCGTTGTACCCCCCGAATTTTTTGCAACTTTTTCTCGGTCTCTGTGAAAGATATCAAAAAGTTGTCAACCGATGCATTGCTTATCATAATATCAGAAGTGTTCCATCAGTTGAAATTTCTGATATCTTGCATAAGAAATGTTAAGATGATGGAGCTTAAGATTGGTAGAAGACCTTCTATTACAGGTTTAAAGGTATGTAAAATTGTTTTCATTCTGAATATTTTCTCCGGCTTGTGAACTGTCAAAAACCGAGCTGAAGGATTTTCTTTTACTTTACCGTTTATGGACAGTCAGTTCATAAAGTTTTACTGCATTCGTATTTTGGAACATGAATGTAAACGGTTTTCTGAAAAAAATTGTTTATTAATAAAATTTTCACTATTGTTTTAAAGTTAAAAAAACCTAACAATTCGAATTGTTTCTTTCTGAACATCTGACATTTTTGCTTTTTTTATTTTTTAATTAACTGAAATGTGTTCAATTCATATTTCCCGAAGAAAAAGTGAACTCATATAAAAACAAGTCTGAATAACTCAGAAACATCATTTGGACGATAAGAAGCAACCTCTGGGAGCATTGATAGTATACCTCAAACAACGTCATTTTATTCGAATTTATAGATTTCCATTTCCCGATTCTTCCAAAAAACTGTAAAAGTTTTAGAATGACTAGTTGTTTGCGGTCTCAACCCAAAGGAAAACTGAATTTCCCTGGAATTCTTCTCCGGTCTTAATCAAATTCACTGATTCTGTCTACGACAATTTTTCATATGAATGCACTGGCGGGAAAAAAGACAGGTGCACAAAGTTGTTTTTTTTCCAGTTCTGACTCATTTGATGGGAAACCAGTTAGCAGGACAACAGGATAAGGAGAAGCACGAAAATTATTGTTTTGCACAACGTACTGACGTTTTAGTTTGTTTCAAATTAACAGAAACAAACAAGGAGCTGTGATTTTCCGAAAAACATTTTGTATTCAAATGAAAACCTACGACCTCATATTAAAAAAACACCTTTTTCATCAACTGTTTTTTCAAATTATTTTTTTGCTAGGTAATAAAAACAAAATTCCACAATTGCATGACACATTTTTCAAAAAAGGATTCGTATTTAATGGTTATATTCTCTGAAAACATCACAGACAGATTTCGACCTCGAGAGCTCTGTTTTCGATGGGTGCTTCCAGTCAGTTATTTTTGAAAACAACCCATGCAATAATAATATTGTTTGCTTTGTCCGTCTGCAAGTCCCCGCTGTGTGGCTATTTTTCATTTTTATCGAAACTCCAATTCTGTAGCTTTTAACTACAAACTCTGTTGTATTCGTATCAGTCTCCTATTGATAACCACTCCTCCCATATTATCAGACGTTTTTTCATTACTTCATTTTTGAAGTGCATTATATGGCCAACAAGAGGTCAGTAATGTACGTCCAAGAAAAAGTCAAATACCATCCCAAACTTACCTAAGTGTCTCCACCAGTCGGTACCTTCTTCTTTCTTTCACTTTTTTTCTGAAATATTTCTCCCTGTTTGTCTCTCGCAAACAAATATATTTTCGTTTACATAAGCGAACCACTGTCCACTCTTGCTTCATTTTTCCCACAATCATTCTGTTCATTTTCCATTGATTTTCAGCTGAAAAAAGAAATTAAAATTGATCTGGAATTGACGGAATTCGGGCGAGAAATAATGGAAGTGTTCGTCGAATGGGCACCGAATGTTGTTCTTCTAGTTGGTGTAAGTTTTAAAAAATACCTTTTTATTCTCTCCAATTCAAAACTTTCAGAGTATGTCTATTGTATGCGTTATAATTCATATAATTCAATCGACAATTCGACCTCCAAAATGCTGTAATAACTCTTCTGGTTAGTGATTTTATGTGGTTAAAAATAATTGACAGTCAAATGATGCCATATGGTAAATTTAGTGATAACACAAGGTTATCAATCATATGAAGTAAACTGATTATTCTAATAAGATCAGCAGCATCACGGCCGTGCAAGATTTAACGCTTTGTCGCTAAATGCGTTGGCACCGTGCCAAGTCATCTTTTTTTTGAATTGAAAATTCGACATTCCAAGCCAAAATTTAGCCGCGTTGCGAGCCGCAACGCGCCCAAAAGAACTGGGACAACATTGAATGCATGCACCCTCTTGCAACCCCGTGCAGCATTCCCTTTTCATTTTGAGAAATTGTAAAAAGGGAACAGAGAAAATAGGAAAAGACCCCTGTAGAGCGTCGTTATTTTCTAACTTAAAGAACACAAAAACATGCCTGAAAACAACGGTTGAGATTCTCAATACATTCGCATTATATGCGCTAGCTCGGTCGTGGCCGCAGCCGAACTACCGTAATTATCAATTTTTTTATTTTCATATTTTGTTTCTCGATTTTCGACAGAAAACTTTAGGTGACGGTGATTTTCCTCACGGGGACCGTTGGCCACACCCACAAGATTGAAGCGCCGGTGGTGCGGAAACAGATGACTGGTAGTTCAATGAATTGAATGAGCAAAAAAATGTATAGGGATTTTATCCAGAATATCCAACTCTACAGTACGGGATATTAGGATATACAAAAAATATTTTTTTCGGAAATTTAAAAAGTTGATTTTCGGAAATTTCGACCATTTTCAGGGGTCTGGAGCTTGTCTCTCAAGTTACCGATCACACTGAAACTTTTGGAGGGTATGAAACAGTTCGAGATAGAAAAAGCGTTCACATAATTTTTTGAAAGTTCCTAGTTTTTTCAGCTTTTTTCCAACTGCTGAAAGACACTCATGTTTCCCGTTTTCAGTGAAATACTGCCCAAAAAAGGGAGCATTCAGAAATCGGCAAATAGCTGAAAAACTAAAATTTTCAAAAACTTTACGAATTCAAAGTTTTCAATTCAGGTCTGTTTTACATTTCCAAAATTTTTCGAAGTTATTGTAGACCGGACGTTATTGTAGATGAAAAACAGGGACTTGACTTTCGTCTGTTGATCTCTTTCGCCACGTAGAGGCTCAGTACATGACAGGGTCCCCCCCCCCCCCGCAATGGGGGACGTTCAGTGAAAAACACCTCGGACCATTGTTGGTTAATTTCCAGTTCTTTTTCACTGATAGGAAACCATGTCTACGCTATTCATAGTTTTTTTTCCATTTTTTAAAGATCTTTGATTAAATCTTTTGTAAAAGGGGGACGTTCAGTGAAAAATACCTAGCAATGAACCCCAAAACATGGCGACCCTTACAATTAGGGCCTTCTAGCACTTTTTTAATGGATCAATCAAAAGATCAAAAAGGAAATGAAACAACAAAAAGCAACGTAGGCAAAGGGCTTATCTACAGAGAGAAAATGCTTGTGAAAATTATGCAACAATAAAGTTCTAAGAGGGAGATTTCACCAAACCCGAGTTGTTTTCCAATATGTGGAATTTGTTAACGTGGACAGAAGGAGGGGGCGAGACCCAATAATGGTTGATTCATTGCGTTACGTGAAGAAATTTTTTTTGAAAAGCTATGCTTTTAGGTGACCTTTTCAAAAAGAGAAATCAAAAAAGTGAAGAGCAGACCCACAAACAGTTAAATAAATAGGTTAAATTGCTCCGAAAGCGCACCAGCCAGTTGTTTGAAGCGCCGGAGGCGGTATAGTCATAATAAACAATTTAAAACTTCAAAATAGTTTCCGGAAACTATAATTAGAATCAAATGATTTTCAGGAACCCTAATAATAGGTCTTCCACAAGTTCATCCTCATAATTCATTTCAATATGTTCGACTTGAAAGCCAGAACATTGAAGCGGACTCGTGGCACAAAACAGCATATCCGGTATTTGATGTATAATATTATTGGTATTATGGTTTTCTCGAATAATGAATAAACAATTTTATATCACTTGAATTCCATTGGAAACATAATAACACACCTACATATTAGCCTCTGACATAAAGATGCCTGAAACATCCAAATGTTCCTAAAACCGCCCTAAAGCCGACGGTTCCTCAACCTGCGATTTAATGCTGCCTTACAATTAGATCCGACCCTCAACAAAAGTTACACCCTCTGTTTCTTCAGACGGATTCAACTCATATGTTCCATCGATTCATTTGAGTTCTATCGATTTTTTATTTTTTTGAAATCCCCGAGATTCTGCAGATTTCGTAAACAATTAAGTCGATCTTCTTAACTGGAAGTATTAGGTTGGCAGGAAAGTAACTGCCCCTTGTTTTATTTGTGAATAATACAAAAGCAAGATTAATCCAAGATTAGCCGTCGTGGTCCGCGACATGTTGGCAATGTTCTGATAACTTGTGGATACAATACCTTCAAAAGCCAGCTAGCCGCGAATCAAAGTAATCATTTTTCCTGCTTTTCACATAAATGGTGCAAATTTTCGTATTCTCTAGATGAGGTTGTATCTCTTCGAATATACAATAATCTGATAGAGCTCAGTCGGGACTATGAATAGGTGAGAGAGAACGGTCCCGCTGAAGCTGCCCAGGTCTGACTTGACTGCAGGTAAAAAATGAAAAAACCTCATGTTCACGGAAAGTCACGCCGTACCTGAGCCGCTTTGGCTGGACGGTCCTCCTTTACCCCCGTTAAAGACCTGATTCAGCTCTATCAGATCATTGGTTATTCAAAAGTATACGACGTCATCTGGAGCTTAAGGACTTTAACACACTTGATGCCTGAAAAAATGGACTGGAGGGATACTTTGACTTGCCACTAGCTGGCTTTTGGAGGGATGGTACCCACGAGTTACCTGAACATTGCCAACATGTTGTGGATCACGACGGTGCATATTGCTAATTCTGGAGTATTCTTGTGTTTGTGTTATTTACTAATAAAAAAATGGACAGGTACTTTCCTGCCAACCTAATACATGCAGAATACTTTTTTCAATCCTGTGAGCAGCTTGAATCTTCAGCTTCGACATGCTCAAAGTCACTTTCTACCACTGGATCCTTCTTTAAGTTGTTGTCCGAACTTATTAGAGTGAATAAGAAAATTAAAACTCTTCATTGATGAATACGGAACAGTAAACAAATAACCCGAACGATTGAAAACAGTACAGTGCAAGATTAGACATCGTCATTTTACATCATTGATTTTTCACGGTGCTCTTCACTTCCATGCTTGAAAACCTGCCGGCTGATCACCTCATCGGCTACTGTTTTTCTGTCATAGACAAGTCCAAGAGTAGCTGCTACGTCGATGAGAACGCGTGTCCAGTTGTATTTCAGAGAGTACTCAGAAGTACGATAATCTTGTGGGAAGGTATGATGGAAGTTGTGGCCTCCCTCTCCAACAGCAGCAATTGTGGTGAAGACATTTTCGACTGGAGAGACAGAGTGATCATATGGCTTCCATCCGAAATAATGAGCCGCACTGTTGATGCACCATGTGGCATGAAGAGTGAAGCAATAACGGAAAGTGGCGGCGGTGTAGAAGGCAATGAAAGCAGTCTCTCCCCAGAAGTATACTGGAATGATTGTTGGAAGAACGAAGCAAGAGAGAATGACGAGTGGGAAGTAGTGTCTTCTCTGGAAGGCAAGGACTGGATCGTTCTCAAGATCAGACATGTCTAGCTTGGCTCCTTGTTCCTTGACTTGTGGATGCTTACGGACGAGAAGCCATCCCATGTGAGCGAAGAAGAATCCACGAGTGGTGTTATGTGGATCAGCATCAGTGTCAGTCCATTTGTGATGGCAACGGTGATCACGGGCCCATTCGATGACGTCATTTTGGAGGGCGATGTTATTCAGAAGCATAAGGAAGACTCTCATTGGAGTCGTAGCCTTGTATGATTTGTGGGACCACAGACGATGGGCACCAGCGGTGATTCCGAATCCTCCGAAGACATACAGAAGGAAGGCTGAAAATTTAGTTCATTACAATTAGTTTTCATGATACATTCTTTTTATGTATTGAACTTTTAATGCCCTCTTGAAACTCCGTTTGCTGATAATATTATCAATCCGGAATATTCGAGAAGCACACACCGTTTTTCCTAATTCGCCCCCCCCCCATTCTCATCTGGTCAGACCTCTATCTGTCTTCTTTTTCGGAATCACGCCATATATTTCTCAACGACATGAAATGTTCAACTACTCTCTGTCGCTGATCAAACTGATAAAAAACGAGGAAAAAGAAAGACTCACTGAAGACGACGGTTTGCCATTTTGCTTCAAAAAAGAACTGGTAGAGACCGATGGCGGCACCAAAGTGAAGAGCTGCGAAGAGAGCCACGTTGCGCCAGACGATCTCCATTTTGTATGGGATCTGAAATATTGAAAAATGGAATGTATTAATCAAAAATTGGTCAAATTATTGTTATGAAGTCAGTAAATTTACTTCATAGTGAAATCATAGAGAAACATTAAATAATTTAATGAATATCTACAGTCCCTGGCATTGAACATAAAATTCCAGAATACCCACATTTTTGCTTTCTTCTTGAAGTCTGGTAATCTCATCAGGATTCACAGCCAAATACTGGGCTTCTGGAGCATCCTTCTCAATCTTTTTGGCAATCGTTGAACGAGTCTTGACGGTCATTTTACTGTCTGTTTTCTGAAATTAGCTAATTAAAAATCAGGTTTATATTTGGATTCAAGAAAGAAAGGAAACTCTGAAACTTTAAAGCAAAAAAGTAAACGAAGTATGAGTTGTGATGCGTTTCTTCTCTTTTATATTCAAGCATAGATCTAGTCGTGTCCGTAGTTGAAGTGGGCGGAGCCAACCATGTCCAGCTACACTACGCAACCCTTTGCCCTGTCCCGTCGTCTCATATCACACCATTTCTGATACTGGAGAAAAAGGTGGGTTGGTTGTTTTCTGGGCGACACTGAATAGCGTATAGGAATAAGAGACACAGAGGAATTTTGTTGCAAAACGATTGCGTGAGGAATTGGAAGGATCACAAAAGAAACGAGGCAAATTAATTAAGGAGGAGGAGGTGGTTGTGGTAGTAGGCAAATTTCAAAGTTGAGGACTATTCATAATAGATTCATGTGGTCTTTTAAATCTTCGAATCAAAACACTTACAAATCACGTTTCTTGTTTTTTTCATGTCAGAAGGTCTGCATGCTCAAGTGGTCACAATGTTTCGAAATGTGTACTTTGAGAAGTTTCCAGACTTTTTTTGACTTGAAGATTGTTTGGAAATAGGTCTTGTCCAACCAGAACAAATAAATAAGATCGCTTGTTGTGAACTAAAGTGTACCTGATCACCAGACTTGTTCCACCGGGAAATCGGGATTCCCGCTTTCCCGGTTTTCCCGGAAATTTTCGGGAATTTTTCCCGACAGGAATTTTCTCGAATTTTTTTTCGGGAATTTTTTCCGACGGGGTTTCCCGAAAAAAATTTTCACGAAATTCCGGGAAAACGGGAAATTTTCCAGTCACTGTTTTTCTAGATTTCTCAAATTTTCAACTATTTTTTGCTTTTTTAATAGTTTTCAAGCAAATGCAGCGGACGCTTTTGAGAAACTTGAAGAAATCGACAAATCTCAACATAACTTGAGAAAAACAGACAAAATTCGCTGAAAAACCAACTTCCCGATCTTTCCCGATTTTCCCGAAAATTCCCGAATAATAACTTCGGGAAAAATTTCGGGAACAAATTTTCCCGAAAAGATTTTTCGGGAAATTTTTCGGGAACCCGATTTCTCGAAAAATAATTTCGGGAAAATTCTCGGGAACAGGAAATCGCGAAAAAATTTTCCCGAACAAGTATGCTGATCACAGTTATTCCAGATTTCTGATTGAATTTTTAGTCTACTTTACAAACTCTTGAATCAGCTACATACTGTTCTCATAAACTCTACTTTGTTCCCATCGGAAGCATTTCTTCATATCTGTCATCTATCCTTCAAATTGATTACACACAGGTGATTCGCGAACAATCCGTTACGGACGCTCCGCGTTCGCGCGCGGTTGAAATAGGAACCGCATACGGACCGCACGCCAACCGTTTTCAGTAAATAGCCGTACATTATTAGGATTGATCCGTATCCTGTCCGTTCGCGAGCTCCGTATCCGATCCGATTGCGAATCATAACCAAACGGATCCGTTTGCGAATCAAATGTT